TTCCACTGCTCTCCACTGCCTCTTAATGGAACAATGTACTAGGGGAGGACATTCTAAATATAAATAGACCCTGCCTGTTTCCTGCCTTGACCCTGTCCAGCCACCCACCCTCCTCCAGAAACAAGGACAGGCCCAGCGCTCCTGCCACACCAAACTGCCTGCAGTACCCCAGAAGATAATTGAATACCTGTCTGCTTTTGCTCATGCTGGTTCCTGTATATGAAATGCACTTTAGCCTGCCCACCTGTCCACTATCCCCATGACATTCACCTTTCAAGATTAAGCTTAAGTCAAGCCTTCCTTTACCCAATTCCCACCCCAAGGGTAGCACTCACCACGTCTTTATGCCTCCTTTGTAAGCACATCAATCAAATCATATTACAGTGGATTAAGTGTCCATGCTCTGAATCCAAGGCAAACTTGTCAACCCAATCCCAACCCCTCCTGCCCATGACATTGCTTCAGCAAATCTCCTCACGTTCTCTGACATCATCACATTTTCTCTCTACCGAGTCATTCTTATGCTGTTGGTTCTTCCAACTGAAAACAATCAACCCTCTCTCAATCCATTTTCCCCTCTAGCTCTTGTCTATTTCCTTGTTCCCCTTAAAGCTGCATTTTTTTTTTTTTTTTTAAGATTTACTTATTTGAAAGGGGAACCTGGGTGGCTCAGCCAGTTAAACATCTGCCTTCGGTTCAGGTCATGATCCCGGAGTTCTCGGATCAAGTCCTACATTGGGCTCCCTGCTGGGCAGGGAACCTGCTTCTCCCTCTGCCCCTCACCCCGCTCGTGCGCTCACGCTCTCTCTCAAATAATAAATAAAATCTTAAAAAAAAAAAATTTACTTATTTGAGAGAGCATGAGCTTGCAGAGCGAGTGGGGGGAGGGGCAGAGGGAGAGGGAGAGAAATCCTCAAGCCGACTCCCCGTTGAGCATGGAGCCCGACAGACACTGGGCTCAATCCCAGGACCCTGAGGATCATGACCTGAGCTGAAATCAAGAGTCAGACACCTCACTAACTGAGCCACCCAGGTGCCCCCATTAAATCAGCATTTAAAAGACTGGCCTATTCTTGTTATCTCCACTCCTAGCTTCCCAATCTCCTAAAGCCCAATCCATTCAGACTTCCACCCACCACTGCAGAGAAAAGGCTGGTTAGGATCACCAGTGATCTCAGGTAACTAAATACAACGGTCACCTCTCAGGCCTCTTCTGAACTCACTGATCAGCAGCATTTTACTCAGTAAGCCACTTCTGTCTCCTGGAAACACCTTCTTCACTGGCCTTCCAGGGCACCCTACCTAAAAATTTTCATCTAATTCACTAGTGCTGTTCTCCTGGTCCATGACACCTCTTAAAAGAGTACTGGGTGGCTCAGTCGTTAAGTGTCTGCCTTCGGCTCAGGTCATGATTCCAGGGTCCTGGGATCGAGCCCCACACTGGGCTCCCTGCTCAGCGGGAAGCCTGCTTCTCCCTCTCCCATTCCCCCTGCTTGTGTTCCCTCTCTCGCTGTGTCTCTGTCAAATAAATAAATAAAATCTAAAAAAAAAAAAAAAAAAGAGTACTCAAGGGCTCCAGTCCTTGAACCATTTCTTTCTCTATACTCACTCCTTGGTGACCTCATCTGCCTCACTGCTTTCAATACCCTATGTATGCAGAGACCTTTCTATTCCAAACCTCTTCAAAATCAAAGTGGACTCCTACTATATCTTCCCAAGGCTGCTCCACCTACCATCTCAGTTACATAAACTTCATCTGTCCAATGGCTCAGGCTGAGTTTGGGATCATCCTTCACTCCTTCTTTCTCTTTCTCCACAGATAATCTACCAGGAAATCTTATTTACTTTAACTTCACAATATTTAAAATCTGACCACCCTTTACCCTCTCTTCTGCTACCATCTTGGTTTGAGCCACCACCATTTTTCATCAGAATTGTTGCCTCCTAACTGGTCTACTTGCTTCTATCCTTAACAGCCAAAGTGGTCTGGCTAAAAGTATGATGATATCATCCCTCTGCTCAAACACCCACTATGACTCTCCTCTTTCCACTCAGAGCATAAGCCAAAGCCTTTACAATAACCTGTAAGGTTGGAAATATTATTCCTCCCCCGCTGCTGCCTGATCTAATCTACACACTCCCCTTCACTCCTGCGGCTGTAGCCACACCGCCAATTCACTTGCTCAGGCACATTCCTATCTCATGGAGTTTGCATGAGCCATTCCTTTTGCCTGGGATGCCCTCTCTGCACTCTCCATTATCTGACTCACAACCCCATGCACTCCCATCCCCACGGCAGTACTCGCAAGCCTTCTTAGTGGCTCTCATCTTTCTAGAGCACGTATCATCAACCATACTACATAGTCATATATTATGTTTGTCTCACCAACTAGGATATAAGCTCCACAAGGGCAGAAACTTTTATCTGTTTTGTCAAGTATTCCTAGTGTCCAGAACAGTGTCAAGTGCTCAATAAATAGCTGCTAAATGAATGGATAGCATTAGTAACGTTATACCGTATTTACTTACACACTAACCACATTCTCCATATAAGGCCAAAGCTCCCGAAGGATAAAAAATATATACTTTTCTGGGCCTTAATAAACAGTAAAGGCCTCTGTAAAAACAAGGAGGTGCAAATGAGCTGGCTATTTTTGGGACACAAACATATTACTGGGTATACAGAACAGCAAAAAATTAAAACAGATGATAATGAATAGCTGCAGAATGAAAGATGTTACCACAAAAAAAGGGGAAAAAAAAGGAAGAGCTTAACTGTATGAAATGAATCCTATACAATGGGGAGTAAGAAGTGCTTGGAAGATGCCACTTCTTTGCTGAGCATTAGTAAGGATCAGTAAGGATCTACCCTCTGAAACCTCTAACCTGTGGAACTGTGGTCTCCAGGTTGTAATGTTTATTCAGGAACTTAAGCAGCTTCGGTGAGGGTCGGTCAATAGCCAGTTGGTGTGGTTCAACTCGCTCCTTCTGCAGGGAACAGGAGACTCAGGGTAGGAGAAGGTGGGGGGAGAGCATGCCAACAGGAACCCAGCAGCCTGGGAAGGGAATAGGAGGATATGGGAACATGGCAGGCAGGAGGGTGGAAGGCAGGGCCTCTGGAAGGGCTCAGCGCAAAGGGGCCTTTGGTCTCTATTTTGGATGGACTGGTGAAAAGATAAGTGACACCTGCAACATATAGTGGAAGAGTTCTCGCCCATGGCCATGGCGCTGAAGTGACTCATGGATGTAAAAGTCTAGAATGCACAGTGGTTCTACCTCGTTGTGAGCCTCACGATCATCCTAGGAGGTAAAGAAAAACAAGTACCTTTTAGGACCCAGACATCGTTGCCGCCTCCCAACTCCCAGCACTTTTATTCTCAGAAGCCAAGGCATGTGAACTCTCAGCTTCCAGTAACACTCACCAGTACAAAGAGTTTCTTGTATCCAACTTTAAGGAAGCCGATAACGGCTCCTTTTCCAGCCCTGTAGGATGGGGAAAAATAATAAAACAAGCTAGTAGCAACTATTTGTAAGGGAGAGTCAAAAAAGGAAGAGGGGGTAGGGGAGGAAGGAATCAAGTATGGGATGGAAGGGCATTTGGAACTCACGGTCGCGCTGAAGTGTCTTTGAGCACATACATGACATGGCGGTTACTCTGCATCCTTGATGCACTGGTGATGGGAGCAGGAAGATGCTGGGCCTGCCGGGAAGATAGACAGACTTTCTGCAAGTCCATTTCAAAGGACCTATGCCTCCCTTATCTACTGGCCCCAGAGAGCCCCTCCATCTAAAGACTCCCCAGTACCTTGGCAGAAGCCTTGCCCAGTTCATCTACAATGGTCATAATTTGCTGCTGCAGATCAACACTACAGAAAAAAAGAAACAAAGAGTCAGATACTCACTGAATTAGAAGGTCCTGGGAACCTTGGCCACAAGCTCAACCCAGGTTCGGCACTTAAGACTCTCTGACCTTACCTTGGAGACCTCTGATCTGATTTTCCACCCCACCATTCTGGAACCCAAACTTCTGCCCCACCTCTTTTCAATACATTACACTCCCCCCTCCCTGAGGTTATTGTGGGGAAGCAGGAAGGGCGGGTCAACCACATCCTTTGGTTAGAACAAATCAGGCCAAGGAGTGAAAGGTCACAGATGCAAGTGCCCATCAACTCCACTAGGTCTAGGGTCAAAGGTCACCAGAAGGGCGAGCCAGAGCAACAAAAGGAGAGGTCACTAGTCGGTGAGAAGGGGGCGTGGTGCCTGGACCAGGTTTTTGAGAAGAACAAGGAGATAAGGGCCTTGGGGCGGGTTTGAGAGGTCACCGGGCCGGCGTTGTGGTTCCGGGTCGGCGGGCTGGGGGTCGCAGGTGCTGATCCAGCACCGTGATCCGCTCCGGGAGCAGCGCATCCACATCGAACGAGAACTCCATGGCCCATTGTGCGTGGACGGACCCGCCCCGTGCCACGTCACTTCCGCCCCTCCCTGAAAGGCGGAGGTTGGGGGACGGAGAGGAAGCACTTCAGGGAGCCTTTATTTCCTCGCTATGCAGGAGGGGCTCGGGGGCCGCCCCTGGGGGGGGCCGCCCTACCACCCCGCCCACCCCCCCTCATCGCCCCCACCCCTCCTCCTCCCCTAACTCCCGCCAGGCCAGTCCCTTAACGCCATTCCCCCGCCCCCGCCCCCCACCCCGCGGGTGCCATAGCAACGCATTTTTCCTAGCCTACTGTCCCATTCCCCAGCCCTTTCAACTGCCCCTCCCCACACCCCCGCCCCAATCAGGAAACTGCTAGGTATGGTGAGGACACTGCCACTGCCTTGGGCACAGGAGGCCAGAAAGGTGATCCTGACATAATGGCCCAACTGCTCATATCTGGTGGCTTCTGGTCCCGAGAATCACTGGCCAGTCTGGCTCAAGCATGACCACTCCTCTCCCCACAGCAGCACCCATTCCCCAACTCCCCCACCCCTGACACAAATGGCATTAATCTTGGAAACTCAGCCCAGAGACAGGAGATACAGCTTTATTGTGGCAAAGCCAAGTTAGCAGAAACCTGAAGCAAGTACAGAATGTTTATAGCCTGTCTACTATTCACAACATACAGGGTTTGGGGTTTCCCATACACATCTGTCCTGCCCTCCCCTAAGCCTCAGAAGCATTTATTCCCTTCAGCAATCATTACTTCTCTCTGGCCCTGGGCCTGCCATTGGCCACATACAAACACAACTCTTCAGAGTGAAATCCCATCATGTAATTCCTAGGCACTATCTCTTTTTTTTTAAGATTTTATTTATTTATTGACAGAGAGAGAGATAGTGAGAGCAGGAACACAAGCAAGGGGAGTGGGAGAGGGAGAAGCAGGCCTCCTGCCGAGCAGGGAGCCCAATGCAGGGGTCGATGCAGGGCTCGGTCCCAGGACCCTGGGATCATAACCTGAGCCGAAGGCAGACGCTTGACGACTGAGCCACCCAGGCGCCCCACTAGGCACTGTTAATTCCTTCCCAGTCTACAGCTCCTACAGAGCACTCTGGGGCTTCTGCTCAGTGGAGGAGGCTTCAGCTGGGGTTGTGGGCAGCACCTCAGGCATTGACTCAGGTGGGGGACCACTCTCTTCTCGGAGATGTCCCTGATAGAGTCGTCGAAGGCGGGACAGCTCTCTCTCTGGTGGCTGTTTCCAGCCATACCATGGATACCAGGGGTCACCTGCAACGAGGGTGGGGGCTGGTGGAGTAGCACTCACAGCTCCATGAGAGGTACTGAAGTCAAGGTCCCGAGGTTCAACCTGAGGAATGTGGTAACTGAGGAGACCTAGGGAATTAAAAAAAGAGAGAAAGTGAGGGAGGGAAGCAAGGAAGGGTAGTTTGGGTTAAGACAGTATGTAAAATGACATATAAAGGGAGGCAGGAACCAGTCAGAACCACTGAGTATATTTATGCATGTTCTACACTGCACAAAGGCAACTGGCCAAGGGGGCAATGTGGACTGACATACTGCTGGGGCTTTTTAGTCTGCCAAGCTGCGCAGCCCTGCCCCAGGGCTACAAAGCTGCATCTGCCCTAGCAGAGGCATACCTTTTTTAATTTCTGCAAAGGTGTCATGGAGCCCAGGGCCAGAAATTTATACAAAGATCTCCCATGATCTGTCTCTGGCATTGGGACTGATAGTTATAAAAGGGAAGAAAAAGGACAGAGGATTACGGAAACAGGGCAATGACAAGGTAAGAGACTCAGGAAAGAGAAAAAGGGACAGTGGAGTACTGAAAGGAGATTTGGATGCCACCTCCTAAGACACGTAGGAGTATTTATATCCGCTCTCCAGCCCTAAATCACCTTCATTATGGGTAAGAAAAATGCACTGGACCCCTTCTCATGCTCACCATGATCTCTGGCTTTCTGGATGGCCTGGGTCAACTTCTTATGTTGCTTCATACAGACCCCTGTAGGGAGAAAAAGAAAACTCAGTGCTCATTCTACACTTGATCTTGCCAAAAGGCCAAGAAGCAATACTCGGTGCTCATTCTAGAAAGCACAGTAAACAAGAGTATACAACTGCTTCTATATGGTTATAAAGAGCTGGGTTTGGAAAACTTGCTCTACCTAATAATCCTAGTTCTCTGACCCTTTGATTGGCCTAAGTTTCCCCATCTACCCAATGGGAAGAATCCCCCCTCTCTGAGAGCTGAGATTAAGACCTTAGGAGGGTCTAGAGGCGCCTGGGTGGCTCAGTTGTTAAGCGTCTGCCTTTGGCTCGGGTCATGATCTCGAGGTCCTGGGATCGAGCCCCACATTGGGCTCCCTGCTCCCCGAGGAGCCTGCTTCCCCCTCTCCCGCTCCCCTGCTTGTGTTCCCCCTCTCGCTGTGTCTCTGTCAAATAAATAAAATTTAAAAAAAAAAGACTTTAGGAGGGTCTAGCCACTACAGAAAAGCTATTTAATGGTAAAACCTCCAAGACAGAAAGCAGAAAACAATTCAAAGGGCAAGTGTGGTTAATTAAAGGTTTGGGTTGAACAATCCATAGAGAAAGATTCAGTAAAGGAAGAAAGGGCTCCCGATCTGGAGAAGGTGATCTGAGAGAGTAGGAAAATAGTTCCTTTAGCTTTTTATAGCTTTACTATAAAGCTTTTTTTTTAAAAAAGATTTCATTTTTATTTAAGACAGAGAGTGAGAGAGAGAGCACATGAGAGGGGGGAGGGTCAGAGGGAGAAGTAGACTCCCTGCTGAGCAGGGAGCCCAATGTGGGACTCGATCCTGGGACTCCAGGATCATGACCCAAGCCAAAGGCAGTCGCCCAACCAACTGAGCCACCCAGGCGCCCAAAGCATTTTTTTTTTTTTTTTAAGATTTTATTTATCAGAGAGAGCGCGCACAAGCAGGGGGAGCTGCAGAGAGAGAGGGAGATCTCTCCCCACTGAGCAAGGAGCCTGACATGGGGCTCAATCCCAGGACCCTGGGATCGTGATCTGAGCCGAAGACAGACACTTAACCGCCTGAGCCACCCAGGCATCCCGGCTATAAAGGTCTTCTTCAAAACTCCCTGACAAACCAAACTCCACTGATCATGCTGCCATCCCCAAAATAGTGGATTCAGATTATTCTTTGCAAATTTATCCTGCTTTAGAGCATGGGTTGGCAAAATTTTTCTGTGTAGGGCCACATAAATTTTAGGATCTGCAAGTCCTACAGTCTCTGTCTCAGCTACTCAACTCTGCCATTGTAGCCTGGAAGCCGTTACAGACAATATGAAAATAAATGGACATGGCGGTGTGCCAGATTTGGCCTGTGGCCTTCATTAAGGAATAGATGTAATCTTGAATTGTTAGGATTATAACTCCAAATATGGAAGATCTGATTGGACTGTCGATGGCAAAAAGAATTTACAGGACAGTCAATTTGCTAGAAAGCCTTTTGCAAGAGCAAACAAGACCCTACAGAAAGGAAATAATTACCACCACTTCTAACAGCTACATTTAGGTAACTTACTTACATTGGTACTTACTTGTATCTTTTGTCCATATGTGAATATATCCATTAAGGCAAGATTTCCAAAAAAAGTTCATTCACACTTTTTATGCCTTACGTAACGGCCACCAGATAACTGTTGTATGACTGAATAAATGAGGAGTGCTCCAAGGAAAAGCTATTCTGGTGGTGACAAGGACGATAGACTAACCTGTATATGGAGCATGAAAGATGATACCTGTGTGGGCGCAGACAAACTGTTCCAAGAGCTTCACGTTCTGTGGAGGAAAGTGGTGGGGAAATATAAGAGAGGGCAGGGAGAGCAGCAAGACCTTGAGATCCTAAAAGTGCACAATCCCTACATGTGTGCATGGACGCCCTTAACTCCTCTGTGTCTCTTCAGGTGCTACCCTCCTTCAAGTCCCAGTTTTAGCCCCATCAATTTGCTGAATACATTCTTGAAAACTCCAGCAAACATTTCCTCTTTCTTGGCCTTGCAACCATTTCACATGCACACCCTACATTCTGTCACTGAGACTCACATAGAACCCTCTTCTACAGGGATTAGGTTCTAAAATCAGCCCTTCGTGCAAAAAACTGGGAAGAGTCAGCTGGCAATCCCTGAAATCACATAAGAAAATATAATATGTGTTTATAAGGTGCATATATAAATACGAACGTATATGATAGTATACTACATGTAACATATACATCACTAATGTCAATTTTAGAGGTCTAATTATGTAGAATGACTATCAGCCAGCAGGTTAATCACAGGAGATGGCACCCATGGAAAAAAGGAGATGCACTTGTGGAGTAAAAGAGCAAGCAGAATCATATGCACTATTCAATTTATAATCTTTCTTCCTCGGTCATGTAATTGATTCTAAACCGTATGCAACTGGTTATGTTCTATTTTTTTTCTTAAAGATTTATTTATTTGAGAGGGTGTATGTGTGAGTGAGTAAGGGGGAGGGGCAGAGGGAGAGGGAGAAAATCTCAGGCAGACTCCCCGCTGAGCATGGAGCCTGATGAGGGGCTCACACTCACAACCCTGAGATCATGACCTAAGACGAAATCAAGAGTCGGACATTCAACGGACTGAGCCACCCAGATGCCCCTGTTCTATTTTTATAACCAATCATACACAGTTGAAATGGAGACGTTATCTATCTATGGGACCCTTGTACAGTGGTGTCAGAAGGCACCTGAGAGCAGTCAGACACCCCAATCTGCTGACTGATATACGAATTCCTTCCAACTCCCCTCATGACCAATCATTCAGCTTCTGCTCCAATACCTTTACTGCAAGCTCAGAAGAGCATTTTTCCCATTATTATTTTTACATGCTTTTTGAACTCTTTAAGGAGCAAGTCCTGCCCATCCTTGCAATAAACGCTTTTTTGAAAAATAAGCTCTGTATCTGGCTTCATGTATCTGCCCTCCAGCCTTAAATCTTGGCATGCCACCAAACATCAACATGACAAAAATTAAAAAAAAAAACAAAAACAACGACAACAACAAAACCTCAGGGGTGCCTGGTGGCTCAATCTGTTAGCATCTGCCTCCGGTTCGGGTCATGATCCTGGGGTCCTGGGATCAAGCCCCACATTGGGCTCCCTGCTTGTCGGGGGGTCTGCTTCTCCCTCTCCCTCTGCTCCTCTCCCGCTCGTGCTCTCTCTCCCTCACTCTCTCAAAAAAAACAAACCTCAGGAAAAAACTAACCCAACCTACTTGCTAATAATTGCAAATGGATATAAATAAACCTTTGGATATTGCTCTCCCATTAGAAATACACATTTTTCTGGCCACGCAATTTAGACTGTAAATTTCATAGGTAAAAAAATGAAGATTTTTAGTACGAGCCACAGTGAAGGACAAAAAGCTGGAAAGAGGAGTGTTTTTATATTACTAGAAAGTCAATGCAAAACGGACCGCAGGGGTGCTAAACTAATTTATGAAGAAGAGTGGGACACCCATGGTAATCTCTTTAGCACTACAAAGAGGCTCCAAATCCTTATCCTGGAGAAAAGACTGTCCTTACCCTAAAGTCAACATGCAGCTTGTGATCCCGGCAGATGGGGCAGGGATTCCCAGCAACTTTATCTTTACGCTGTGGAAAAAAAAAACTAGTAGGTGAAGGATGGTCAAAGTCCTGTGAGAAAAAGTGCTACTGCCATTGTCACTATGGCGTCCACCCCCACTCCACATCCCATCCATGTACCACCTGCAGAAACTCACAATACATGTCTTTCGAGTCCGCTGTGGGGGTATTCCACCTTTGTGGTTTCTACGGTAGTCAGCCCAGACGGGGCGAGAGCCATAGCGGTTCTGGTATTCTGAAAGACCACATAAGTTATTCCTGGTGGGGATAGTAGAAGTGTCTCTGTCCATTTATTTCAGATTCCACATGATCCTCCCCTTTCCCATTCAGAGGTACCTTCTGAGTCCAGATATTTCCAGGGTTCATTCTTATAAGGGGTTATGGGAACTGGGGACAAAGAATCTTCCTCAGGGGGTCCTTTGGTGCAAAGAGTCTGGAGGGGAACCTATAAAGGCAAAAAATGAGGAAAGGAGTTCAAGGAAAGGACGTGATAGTTTCACTGCCCATATGTTAGAGACAAGAACATGCCCATTGTATTAATGGAATATAGCAGGAATACATATAGAAAGTAGCATTTTTCTTAGGGTTAGGGTAAAACTTAGATCAACAACCACTCTTCCTGTCTCTGAGTGGATCCTGAAGGAAAAGCTAATGTGAGAGGGTAACTAGGATAGGTGACTGGGAAGCAGTCTTTTTTCTTTCCTTTTTTTTTTTTTTTTAAAGATTTTATTTAATTTTGACAGAGTGCACAAGCAAGGGAAGCAGCAGGCAGAGGGAAAGGGAGAAGCGATGCGGGGCTTGATCCCAGGGCCCTGGGACCATGACCCAAGCCAAAGGCAGACACTTAACCGTCTGAGCCACCCAGGCGCCCCAGGTGACGGGGAAGCAGTCTTATTTGAGAAGACACACATGATGTGTTCGTGCTTTTGAAGATGTACTAAGAAAAGGGAGAAGAAAGGAATAGGGAGGGTGTCTAGCTTCTTGGAAGGAAGATGTCTGGTGGGGAGAGAATGCATGACAGGTGAGTCTCCAACCCAATCCAACCCTGAATCATTGAACTGCCCAGCCTTAGAAAAGTTGAAGGTCAACATTCCACAGGTCAGAACAAACTTGAGTCCTAACGCTAGCTTTAAAGCTACCAGGGCTGTTATTAACTCTGTAGTGACCCCTGTCACCACTGTTAGGGAGTGGCAGCTGTGAAAGCTTTCCTAGCTCACCGTGCCCCCCCAAGAACCTACCCTGCCCTACCAAGAACCTCCAGTGTGGTGAGTACATGAGGCTGGAGAGAAATCTCAATCTAAAGGACTAAGTTAAGGTCTCATGTATGCTCTGATTAAAAAAACAAAACTAATTTAGTGACAGAAAGAGAGCTAAGAAACTGGTCCCCAGGTCGTGAGAACATATCCTGGCTTTACCGGGAGATAGTTCAGCAGGTAGAAGTTAGTGTCCCTCAACTCAAGGACACTCCAGGGCATCACAGATTTAGACATTACATGCATACTTAAGAGCTGGTTGTGTACGACCAAGAGGCCCAATCCTTCACCTAATTCTTTAGCCGAGTGGGTAGCTTGGAAAAGAATATCTAACTCTTTTCCCTTGGCCGGGGATTAAAAATCCGCGCAGTATTGAGGAGGATGAGGGGAAGGGAAAGGGTGGTGGAAGCAGTGTTGCCTAGACAGCCAAGGCATAATAAGCACTTGGGAAAGTCTCCGCTCCTGGATTCCCAGCAATGGAGCGATGACCTAGAGAAAGTATAACTAAGTGGCGGTTGTACAAAATGTGCTCCAAGGAGTTACCTGAACTCCGTAGGCACCTCTGAAGAGCGAAAAGCTAGGAATGCGCCTCAGCAACGAACGCAATACGGAGGCCGCCATCTTGACGTACGCCCAAGGCAGGAAAGGCCGGAAAGGCAGTTGCGCATGCTCCAAGAAACTGGCTAGGGTGGGCCAAGGGCGAGCCCGCAGTGCGGGAGGCGGCCGCGCACTTGCGTCAGTACGGAAGCGTAAAGGGGGGGGGGCCTGTGGGGAGAGGCCAATTTCAACTGCGTCACAATCGAATTCGGCCTCAAAATTGAGTTTTTCTCAAGCCAGTCACTACGACTTCTAGATCTCATACTTAGAGCTTGCATTTTAAGCAATTTTGAAGGGGATTTCTACCGACATCTTCTCAATGCGCATGCGCCGACCCGGTTCTACCAACCAGGGTGAGAAGTGTTCTCGAGGACGGAAGTGGTGGAAGCAGAGGAAAGGGAGGTGCTAGGCTCTTCGGTCACGCGCTTGTGGGGGGGGCCAGGAAGGAGGCGGAAGAAGGTACTGGGGGGAAGGGGCTGAGCGAAGGTGAAGGAAGGATAGCCAATCATCTAGCGAGTTGTCTTTCGGGTTGGCCAATGAATTCACGCCTCGCGCACAATGTCTCGCGACAAGGGCGTTTCACTAGCATGTTTGGGCGCGTTGGGCGGCGTCTGGGTATAAAAGACTCCGCCCGAGCAGGCAGCCGCCATTCTGGGGTTCGTTTAGAGGTAAGTTTGGGTGTTTTGTCGGTTGGAGGGTAAAGTTTTGTTAAAATCGTTGGACTGGGGCAGGGGTTAGGCGTGGGTTCTGTTAAGGACCATGGCTCATAGAAGGCGGCTGTGTTCGGGATGGGACATGGAGGTGTTCGGAGACAACAAATATGGTACTTAGGGTGTTTAAAGCAACCCGTCTTGATTACATCTTTCTCCCTTGTGTTCCTTTTATCCCAGGTTTGAATTTTCTCGGAGAAAGACAGGCCGGCCACGAGGAAAAAAAAGAAACAAGCCGCAGCACCATCTAAGCCCTTGAAAGGATCCTGAGAGGGGGGAAAGGGAAAACAGCAGCCACCAGCCCAACCACTTGTGTCTTCTGCCCCTTCCCACCTATCTTGCCCACCCCACCAGCCCACGCTGCATGGGACTTGAAATCTGTGGCCGAAGGACCGTCACCACATAACTTCAAAAATAATCAACCACCCACCCATCCCAAACCCACCCAAATTCACTCATCCAGCGTTTACTTTTTTGAATCCACTCAGAACTTTTTTTCTACGACCCCCCTCCCTAAATGGAGTTGGGTGGGGGGAAAATGAATACTGAGTTGGCCTTCATTTTTTTAAGAGACTTTTTGATCCAATGAGGCCCCCCAAATAATTGAGTTTTGGGTCCTGGTTGGTTGTTTTATTTTTTTTCTCCAAAATTTTAACCCCCTCCCCCCCTGAGCCCGAGGTGCTGACGTCGCAAAAAAATTGGATAGTAAGTGTCGAATTTTCCAAAACCAGCCTTGCAACAAGAAATCAACGTTTCCCGTTGTGAAACCAAAAATAATGAGAGGAAGAAATGAGCCAATAGAACAAAATAGAACTGGAGAAGGACCAAGCCGGTCACTTAATCTCCATTAAAAAAGGGCCTTTGGTCTTAAAACAGTCTTGTTCTCTCTCCCCTACCACCTACCTTCCTGCCCTGCTGCAGGAAAGGAAAGGGTGGAGGGAGGGCCAGCAAGTGAGGATTTTGATGGTTAACCCTTCGTAATCCAGCCAATTTCCAGACTGCCAAAGCCATAAGTGTTTGCTTTTTATAAGGAGGAATGGTTAACTTCCTCTTGTTAGCAGTCTTCAAAAGGGTTAATGAGCTCACATACAAAAGATGGTGGATCTTGTGGCCCAGAAGTCCCACTTCTTTGTGTGTGAGACAAGCAGGGCGCCTTTCAATTTGCCAGATTAATAAGCAATCTGTACATAAAGATTGCAGGGTAAGGAGATGGGCAGAGATAATAACTGGCTATGACTTTTTAAATGATTGTTAAATCCTCTCAATTTTAATGTAATTTGCTTGGGGTATATTTGTGTGGTTAAAATAGGTGGCAATCTAGGAATAAAGATTGCAAGACACTATTCAGTACAAAATATAATCTTAGTGCCAGTACATAAAAGATAATGGGGAGGTAAAGAATGTTTTGTAATTGTTGCAGGTTGCATAGGTTATTTAAGAGCAAAATGATTAACATTTTAACTTGATACGTATTGGTGGGTGGTAATACAGTCTGATAGGGGGTGGAAAGGTTGGGAAATGTGGAATTCAGGAGTATAATTTTAAAAGCCATTTAGTGCAATTGAATGCTAGCTTTCTAAAAGATTTGTGTCGTTAAAAGGAATTTTTTTCTTCCCTGCTTCAATATGGCGACTTTTCCTTGTCCTTTTGTCTTCCAAGCGGCGTTGCAGGTTGTGTCTTGGCCCATTTTTCTCCTGTCCTCCCACCTCAACCCTATTTGTTGAGAGGGGTCCAAATCCTCCCCCCTTTCCCTTTATAGGGAGGATGGGGGTGGTCGATGGTAGCAGGTTGAACCTCAATTGCAAATTCAATTCTTCCCCGCAGAAAGTTGTTCTTTTAAATATTTTAATTGGTTTTATTTTCACAACTCTCTTACTCAAATTAGGTCAAAGACCATTCAGGATGGGTGCTGGTTTGGGGTATTTTACTGAAAAGGGGTGTTTTTTTGATGTAACTAGCTGCCGGCAGTGCCGGGGATAGCTTTTTTTAAGTTTTCCTCTTCTCCATTACAAAATGGCGTCGTCCTGCTTCTTTGTTGTTTTTTTCTCCCCCTTTTGCCATCCCGAGCTTAGGGCCGCCCTAGAAACTTGGTCAAGGGGGAGGAGCAGCATGGAAAGGTGATGTAATCAGCTTTCTTCCTCTCCACCCTCTTGAAACTCCACCCCTGAGCAGATGCTTTCTGGCCTCCTGTGCACGCTGCTGCTAGACAGGAAAAGACCTTTTCTTTAGACTATCTTTTATAATCTTAAAGGGAAAAAGCTTATAGGAATTAGGTCTTGAAGTTGTCCATCTCCTGGGCAGCTCTAGTTTTTATATTTAACAATCAGAGCCTGTTGCTTTTAATTTCACCTTCCTTCACTCATCACAACTGCTTGGAAGTTTTCCCCGCTTCAGTTGCTAGGGGTGGAAAACAGTCAAACCAACTATACTTTAAGACTGGGAGCCTTCTGGGGTGGGTGTGGGTGTGTGTGTGTGTGTGTGTGTGTGGATCTGTGCGGGGGGGGGGATAGTGGGGAAAGGAGGACTTGGGAAAGTGACTTGAATAGACAAATGGGGCCTAATGACACTGAATTGTGCCATTGCTGCTCAGGAACTAGTCCTTGGGCCTGCATTCGGTCGCTTTGTATAATGAGACTGGGGGAGGGTGGGTACTTCAGGACTTCTTTTTAAATCACCCTTATTCCCACCTCTGGGTTTGGGGATAAACTCTTTGTGTTCAGTGCTGTGTCACGTTCTCCAGTTGCGTAGCTCCTCTACATTGGTACTAGGATGAGAAGTGAATAGGAAAGGAGGCGGCAGTTGTAAACTCAAGGCAGGGGGATGCGAGCTACGGTGTCTGGTAAGCAAAACCTTTCTGGTATTACATTTCACAACCTTCATTTCTTTTTTCCAAAGAACCACCTTTTTTGAATTTCTTTTTCCTTCCCTTTAGAAAGAAATTCTTTTAAAAACATTAATGGGAGAATAATAATGTCTTCTTCATTTTTTAACTCGTGCAGTGCTTTGGCAGTGGGTGCATGTTCAAGCCATGCCCAATCTGAGGGTGGTATTGGGTGTCTTGTCCCTTCTCTATCTTCCTCCAACTTTTTCAAAGTCAAATCTTTGTCAGACTTTCCATATACTTTTCATTTTTTAAAGTCCTGATTTGAAGTGTGGAGGTTCTAGGCAGAATTGGAAAGCCATTTTGTACAGCTGTCCTTTGGTGACTTGGTGAGACTTCAGGGCTAATTTTCTGCTGGGTACGGATTCTCAAATTAGTACTTCTGAATTGGGTGGGAGGGACTCTTCAACATGTCTACTGACCGCAAGTTTTTTATCTTTTAAGCAGTTTGCCATGTGCCTCTGCAGCATACCTTCCTTGGGAGCTGACTGTTCCACCCATTGGGGTTCCTGATCTCTAGTGAACGGGGGACTAATAAGATCTTCCTTAACATGGGAGATGGGGAAACAAGGTCTTCTAGGGAAACCACATCCATCCAGAGAACCTCGGAGAACCTGATCCTTATAGTTTGTGGCCAGTTAAATTCTGGGATCTCTCGCTGGGGCTGGGGGGGCGCTGGTGATTGTACATTCTCACTGAGAGGCAGATAAGGTTTTGGGGAGATCACTGTACCAGGTTTTCAAAATGAGTTTGAGGGATAGGGGCTTACTCCTTAGGAGAGGTAAGACCTTGTGCATCACCTGAGAGACCTAATTCAGTCCACTGAGTCATATTAGGACATAACCTCAAACACCCAAGAAAAGGAAGTGGAATGTCAGGGGTCAGGTACAAAGCATTTTCATTTCCCGAAGTGCTAAGGCTTCTAAGTTAAGGTAAATTCAGACTCCTTCCTCCTTAGTTACAAGAGTGTTAATGATTGTTTTTAAAAGGGCTCTGATTTGCATAGGGATTTTGTCCTGAACCAATTAAGTTATTTTTTCTTGGTGATGGGTATGGATGACCAAGCTAGATGTTTTTCACCCTGTTAATTTAATAACCCTCAAGTAAAATTCATTTTGGAGGCAGGAGTTGGTGTCACTTAAGAACTTTAAGTTTCTCTCTGGTAAGAAATGTAGAAAACTCCCCAGTGCCTTGTGTGTGTCAGTAGTGCTCATCTCTACAAAATCCTCCATGAGAAGGAACACACAGCTTAGGACGAGCTGGAGATAAGGCTGGGGTGGTTCCCCTCCCTCCCGCCCCTTCTGTATGTTCTGTCTTCAAGGAAATTAAAAGCAAACATACCATGCCCTAGATTATTTTTGCTTCCAGAAAGCTTCCTTAAGCATTCGTTCCAGGCTCCAGATAGCACTAGGTAATGTTGACACTGGGTTACTGCCCCTCCTTCCTGGTCAACTCTGCCTTTTCCACTGTAGGCCTGTGCCAGGAATTTAGGCTCTTCATTCCTTTCCACTCGAGTGCCTTGTAGCTTCTTTCAAAATGTACTGGCTGCGAAGTAAGGAAATTTGGTTGTAAGACACTTGGAGTCCTTAATTTTAAATGAGTCAGAACTAATTTGCCTTTAGGAAAGCCATGAAAAAACCCATTTACATTTTGTCACGATTGGTACTTGTGAGATGAAACTTAGTTCTATTAATTGTATTTCCAAAATATAAATAATAGGAAAAATACTAGTGGGAAATGAATATTTAACATTTCTGCTTTGTCTTCTAGCTTCCCCTGACTATTCTTGCTTGTGAATGGGAATGAAAAAGTTGTCCCTGGGTCCCATTCCCAGCAGACGGCACTGGACAGAATTTAGCTTTGTACTCATTGGTCTCTTTCTGGGGATGGTTATTCTTCTTTCCCACCCTCTTACGTGAAGAGGAACATTTGAGCTCAGGTGACACTTCTTTTGAGTTTCTGAAGGAAGTAGGGGTAGAGGTCCTTTTGGCTCAGCTCGTACTTGGATATGCAAAAGGTAGTTCTCCAAGGTGATGTATATCTACTCTGGGTTTGAATCAGGTCAGCAGTATTTGGCCTGGTGGGGGCGGTGGTGCTGGTTTGAAGTGATGTTAATTTAATTGAAGTCTTTTTGTCACATTGTGTATATTGTGGTTGCTGATGATACGTATTATTTAGAGTCACTTACTGCTTTTCCAGTCTCTGATAGATGGGAAATCTGTTTTATCCCTTTGTTGTGTCTCTGTGTGTATCTCTTGGTATAGTGTCTATATTATATCCCTTTATGGTGTCTTACTACATGGGAAGAATGCCTTTCTCTCTGTGTCTGTCTCTAAGAATCACCACACTTCAGTGGATTTGGCCCATGGGCCTCTAATCTTATCCAGTATTCTACTTCAGTATTTCTCCTCTGACCTCAGGTTCTCCCTGTCCTTGTGGAGGTTCCATAGCAGCCGCAATAGCACACTTAACCCAGAGTTGCCCACCTCAGCATTTTTTACCTCATCTCTGTATTCAGCCCACAGATCTCAAGAACCAGCCTCTTCCCTGCTGCTGCTTCTGCTTCCCTAGGTGGTTAGGGTCTATCTCTTTAGAAATTTATTGGCCTTTTTGTTGGGAGGACTAGAAGGTTGAGATTGTTATGCTTGTTTTTCTTTTTATTTGAGAACAAATAGAACAAATTTTTGTTTGTTTTATAAGAAACTTGTTCTCTTTCCTGCACAAAACACAGCTTGTAAAACACTGATTTCCCCACCCTTCTACTGGGATCATGTCTGTTATCTGTACTATAAGCAGAAGGCAAGAAATTGTTTTTTTCTTGCCTCCTTTCTACCCAGCATTAATCTTACATTCCAAACGCAAATATTACTGAGGTAGCTTGCTTTTTCGGTTCTCAGAGGCCTGTGTTTAGAGGCATAAAAATCCTAGTCAGAGCCACATTGATTGTAAATTGCCTTGGGTTTTGGCCTAGAAATTGCTTCACACTTTATCCCATAACAGGAGGTTAGCTTTTAATGAGCTCCTTTTCTAACCTGGTCTAAAGTAGCTACTTAAAATTTAATGGCATTTTTCCAGCTTCCAGTTTTATTCCATTCTTTTTGGCTCCGTGGTTTCTAATTTCAGGCCTTTCTTTTGGGGATCTTGGATGGTAGTGTGATTTTGGAGAGGAGTAGTAATCAAATTCGCATCTTTGCTTTTGAAATCACAAACCAGTCTTCCTCTTAACTTTAAAACAATAAAATTTGTGCAGTATTTGGTTAATGAGTGACGATTCTGTTCATGGCTTAGGAGTACCTGCTTGATTTTCTTTATATCCATTTGTTTCCATTTCTGGGAGCTACCCACAACTCTCTTGAGGGAAAGATTATGTTTTCAAGTTTTTATCACTTACCACTTCAGCTGATTGTCTCCTGGTGCAAACAGCATATTCTGCTTGAGGTGACTGTTACTCTTAACAGACTAAGATAAAAAGGAACTGACTAATCTTAGAAGACGTTTAGCCCAAGTGTCCAAGATTGTCCCAGTTCTTATCAAGCTATAGGCTTTTTTTTCCCCCAAGCTTATTTATCAGCAGCTAAGAAGAAATAGGACCTTAACAATAAGCAGAAATACCTTGGAATGTTGAGTGTTTTGTTATGGGAACTTGACTCAGCTCTAATACAATTTAGTGAAGTTCAGCTATCTAGAAAGGATGTAACTGGGAGGGAGAGAGAAAGGTGTGCTGCCCAGTCCTCCAGTCTAATTGTCTTCCCATTCAGTCCTGTATTAACACCGTGCTTAAGTTGCCAGGGCTTTTTTTCGTTTGTGGTAGTGATGGTTGATTTTTTTCTTACCTAGGAAATGGTGAGTGTAGTTGAATATAGATCGAATAATTAGTCACAAAATTTTGTCAACTGTAGAAATGGAATTTATTAGAGGGTATAGTGGGACTGTGCTTGCCACCCATTTAACCTGTGGGTTTATTTTGTCCTTGTCTTAGAAACCTCGATCATGGGTTCGGGTCCCATAGATCCCAAAGAGCTTCTCAAGGGCCTGGATAGCTTCCTTAACCGAGATGGGGAAGTCAAGAGTGTGGATGGGATTTCCAAGATCTTCAGGTGAGTCTGCTTATCTTTGGATTCACTGAGCAGAGGATACTGTATGTTGTAATATGACTTTAAGACTGACAAGAATGAGTGTTTTTGGAGGGGAAAGAGTGGACTAAGATTGGTATCCAATAATTTTAGCTAGGAAAAGGTGATCCCTTGGTTCCTCGCCATAATGGAATCGGGGTTTCGGGGTTTCGGGGTTTGGATATCCACAGTCTCGAGGAAGTCATGCTTTGGAAGGAAGGGAGCAGGGGAGCCAGGTGACAGAATTCTTGGTTCTGTTTTGGATCACATTCCATATAACCAAACTGCCGTCTTCCTTCAGGGATCCTCCAGTTTCCCAGGGGAAGGCAAAAAGACTAAGCCAGTCCTGAACAGACTATGAATGGATGGCTGTTAGTGCTAGGATACTTCACTGGGAAGCAGAATCAAGTGTGGCCTGTGGGTTAGAGAAGCAGTGATGCTCACCTCCCCAGATCAGAGACTTCAGTGTCTCCTCAGTTGTCTTCCATCCTCTCATAAGATTCCATTTCACTCTGGATCCATCCCATCCCCCGAGAGGCTTGTGTGACCTTCCCACTCTGTGGCAAAGTCCCAAGTCATCAGGGATTTTTAGGCACTCCCACAGATCAGAGATGCTTCTGCTGAAAGAAGAGCCTCTTGCTCCATTTCTAACCTTAATTTCTCTCCTACAGCCTGATGAAGGAGGCACGAAAGATGGTGAGTCGATGCACTTACTTGAACATTCTCCTGCAGACCCAGTCACCAGAAATATTGGTCAAGTAAGTGGGGATCTGAGTGGCTGGGCTGGGAAGATGTACTTAGAAGGTGGGTGAGGGGAGGCATGGGGTTCCTAGGTCATTGTTGGGGGACTAGGATTATGGGATATGGCACTCCAAAACCCAGGAAAGGCATTACAGATTCTCTTACCTGCCTGCAGGTTTATTGATGTTGGTGGCTACAAGCTGCTTAACAATTGGCTGACCTATTCAAAGACAACCAACAACATTCCCCTCTTGCAGCAAATTCTGTTGACCCTGCAGCACCTCCCGCTCACTGTGGACCATCTCAAGCAGGTACCTTAAGTCTCTACAACACTAGTGCTTTCTTTTTGCTTTAGCCTAATAGATAAAATACACGGACTGTGATGTGGTTGCATTCTTGAGCCTGTGCAGGAGAGTGGTAGAAAGAATAGGAATTTAGAATCAGAAGACTTGGTTTATGTACATTAATAGGTGTGTGGTTAGGGCAGTTCGGGTATTTGAGCCTCAGTTTTCTTGTCTGTCGTTGGGAATGATTGTACCTATCTACATTGGTTGTTTTAAGGTTAAGATTGTGCCTACAAAGGTTTTGTAAATGGTAAAGTACTACAGTAGTGGTGGCCGCAGTTAGGGACCATTAAGAAGTTATGGGCGGGGCACCCAGCTGGCTCAGTTGGTGGAGTGTGCGACTGTTGATCTCGGGATTGTGGGTTTGAGCCACACGCTTGGGTATAGAGACGACTTAAAAATAAAGTCTCACAAAAAAGAAATGGTGCAGGAATTTGTGCAGTTCTTAGCTCCGAGAGGACTCATTTTCCTCCTTGTACTTAACCTTTCTCCCCATCTCTCGTAGAACAACACAGCCAAACTGGTGAAGCAGCTGAGCAAGTCCAGTGAGGATGAAGGTAGGGGCCATCCTTCCTCACGACTGCCTCCTCATTATCTGCCTTGAACTGCCCGTCACTCCTCCTTACCTCACTTTACTTTCCTCTTTTAAAAATGGAGCCTCTCTAACCCGTCACCCTTTCCTGTTCTCAATTCCGAGTGGGATTTGTCCATTTCTCTGCTACTGAATGTGAGACAAGACCCCATATTTTAACAAGAAGCTGATTCTTACTATCTGTTGGTGTAAAAGGTATACACTTAAAATTCTTTGGAGAAAATAGTGTCATCCAAGAGAGTGTCATCATCATTTCCTTTTGTTTTTCTAAATAAATATAGCACATTCTGGGACCTTCAGTGTGTGTTTTCCTAACAATAGACATAAAGTTTTACCAATAAACACCTTCGTTTAGGACATGGGCAGAAAGATTCCTGACTGCTGGAGTAGATCATAGCTTTGGTAGCAACAGAGTCTTTCTTTTTCTTAAGACAAAGCGTATCGGAGCCCTTGGCAGGGGCCATACAGTTCTGGCTTAAAGACAGGGCCTGGCTTCAGAAAGTCACAGCCTTTTCTTTAGTGAAGAAAAGGGTTTATACCCAGGGCACAAACCACTACTGAAGACACTAGTGGGCCACAAGTGAGCAGTATTCTAGCGGAGCTGATCCCCTGATCAGAATACAGGCTTACTCTTTTGTCTAAAGGGAATGGCGTGCTAGGTCCTTTTGGAAAGAGGCTTTGGCAGTTTGGTGTGGAAGGAGCATGTAGGCCTGGGTAAGCCTTTCTGAAGTTCCTTTAGCTGTAGGAGAAAACACTGGGAATATTTACCAAGATAAAGTGTTTAATTCATAGTGTTTAAGTGAAAAAATATTTTCTAGCTTTCTGTTCTTTTAGTTGTATTCATTCTCGGTTTTAGGTCTTTTTAGATACTGAGCACTTCTGTATTTGTGACGTTACACAGCATCTTGAATAATAATTTGTAATGTAACACATACTATAGAATTTCCTATTAAATCATTGCTCGTCTCTTGTTTCTTTATTGTTGGGTATAGTGTCCCTTGTTTTCCAGTTAGCTCAGTTGTGCTGCCACCTTTGAATATAGATTTAATTGTTCAGTACTTCTTTGAATACTGAAATTTGTACATTCCTTATAGACCTTAAAGTTTCAATAGACCATAGTATCAATTGGTCCAAAAAGATTTTAGGATATCCCTGTATTGGGGATGCACTGGAGTTCATGTTGCCTTAAGTATAGAAATTGCTAGTTGTGGTTTAATGTTTTCAACAATTTCATTATTAAATGAGTCTATAAGTGGAAATGTTGGCAAGAGGATGGATGCCATAGATAAGAGATGTTATTTGCCAAGTACAAAAGGCAAGAGCTATAAAGGTTTTTGTTCTTTTCTATATATTTGGAAAAACATTTTGTCCTTTATCTTTAAATTCTCTACCCATCTTTTTTATCCAAATAAACAAAGCCTTCCCCATCCCTAAAGTGGTCTGCTTTAAGCTCTTCACCTTAGCTACACTTAATTGTTGTTTTTTTTTTTTTTTAAGCCATTATCACTAGTAGCAATCTAGGAAGAAAGGTGGCTTAGAAAATCTTTTGTAAACTGGATCTAAAAAAAAAAAAAAAATGGATCTAAATCTGCCTCCTTGAAACTTTGTTTGCCTTTAGGACAACATAGAGTGATACTGTTCTTAGCTTTTCAGATACTTGAACCCTGCCTGCCTTTTTCCTGATTTTAGTTTGGCACTGGCTTCATTCTGCAGCTTTCTAGCTTTCTGACTCTGATCTTTATGCTGCTGTCTGTCTATGAAGGAGGAATAAAAATCTTCAAGTTATAACAGCCGCATGAAATACATGTAAAAAACTGTCAGTTTCTTTTAATTTAATTTTAATTTATTAACACTGATGTAGTTTTTTAATAATGTACTATGTATATAATTAACGTCCTCCCCCCTGCCCCCAGTTGGATTGGAATAGAAGACTGCTATGTGATTCATTGTTCCATTTTGAAGAGTTTGGTTTTTGAGCCTGTGTCATGTTCTTAAAACTCTTGGTTACATTTTCTGTTACATAGATGTTCACAGTGTATCTTTAAACATCTCTGTTTTCTGTTATTGGAAGAATAGTGTTTTTAGCTACTTAGGCATTTCCCTTATATTCTTACCTGCAGAGCTCCGGAAATTGGCTTCAGTCCTTGTCAGTGACTGGATGGCTGTCATCCGCTCCCAGAGCAGTACCCAGCCTGCTGGTAAGCTCCTTAGTCTTTTATCCCTCGTATTTATTTCTTTCCCAGTGGGACATGGCCTTCAAGTGTCTTTAGCCTGCTTCACCTCTGACAGTCTTTCTCTTTAAGTAAAATCCTTTTCTACTTTGTTTTTTCATAACAGAGAAAGATAAGAAAAAACGTAAAGAAGAGGGGAAGAGTCGAACCACCCCTCCTGAGCGACCCTTGACTGAGGTGAAGACTGAGACCCGGGCTGAGGAGGCCCCAGAGAAGAAGAAAGAGAAACCTAAGTCTCTCCGAACAACGGCACCCAGTCACGCCAAATTCCGTTCCACTGGTAGGGCTGTTTACTGGTCTTGGGAGGGTCTGTGGGCAGATGTACACCTAGGACCTTGTAGTAGAATAGCTGATTTATGATAGGGCACACATGTGGAAGAGGGAAGATTGGCGGGTGAAGCTTGGGCTGGATGAAGATTTAGGGTTGGACCAGGGAGGAAGAGTTAAGAGAGTGGGAGTGAGTTCAACCCTAACAGCATGTTTCTTCCCACAGGGCTAGAGCTGGAGACCCCATCTTTGGTGCCTGTGAAGAAGAATGCCAGTGCAGTGGTAGTTTCTGACAAGTACAATCTTAAACCCATCCCCCTCAAGCGTCAGAGGTATGGACCACCTCCTGGGTTTCTGCATGGGTTAGGTCTGTGGACATGAGGGAGAAAGAAGGGGTGAGTCAGAGATGTTGACAGTTCCTCTTCTGACAGCACCACAGTTGCTCCAGGAGATGCTGCACCCCCTGCAGAGAAGAAATACAAGCCGCTGAACACCACACCGAATGCCACCAAAGAGATCAAAGTGAAGATCATCCCACCACAGCGTGAGTCTAAAGTGGAGGAATACACTTCGGGAGCAAACTCTTCATGGGAGTGAATGTTGGGGGGTGGTAGGGGACGGATTTCTTGGTGTCTTAATTAACTTTTGCACCTCTGAAGCTCCCCTTTCATAGGATTACTTAAAAGTAATTTTAGAGATGAGGGATGGAGGTGTGCTATTCAGTGACTGATTTAGGGGTACTCCCAGCTTTGGGATATTCGGTCCTGTCCACGGGGGCTGGCTTCTTCAGTTACCTGAGCTCTGATTCATACTCAGAGCCTCAAGTTGCCTGCCTTTAAAAGAAAGGGCACCTGGCTGGCTCAGTTGGAGGAGCATGCAACTCTTTTTATCCAGGTCGGGAGTTCAAGACCCACATTGGTTGTAGAGATTACTTAAAAACAAAAGAACAACAAGAATTTCTTGTATGAATCCAGCATATGCTTCCTGGTCACCTTGAACTTACTGTGTCCTCAGTTGGGGCAGGGTCTCCATTGGCCCACTTACTGCCCAGATTTTGTCTATAGGAATAAGATTGTGAAAGAGGTCTGATGATTCCCTTTTATGCTTTTTCCTTTTGTAGCGATGGAGGGCCTGGGCTTTCTGGATGCGCTCAATTCAGCCCCTGTTCCAGGCATCAAAATTAAGAAGAAGAAGAAGGTGCTGTCACCTACAGCTGCCAAGGTATGAGCCCTGGGCTGTAGGTGTCACTTGACCGGGTGTCAAAACTAAAGTAGAAGGAAGGGTCCAGCAGCTACGAGTGTTTGGGGAGGACAACAAGATGTGGACTGGGGTGGGGCGGGTGTGGGGCGGCAGTGTGGGGGGCAGAGTCTTCCTTTAGAGGAACTCATGGGGAATCCTGTCTAGGACCCTGGACCAATTGCCTTACCTTCACCTTGGCTTTCATGTCTGCTCATTAACTTCTTTTTCTTTCTCAATAGCCAAGCCCATTTGAAGGCAAAGCGAGCACAGAACCAAGCACAGCCAAACCTTCTTCCCCAGAACCAGCACCTCTTTGTGAGGCTATGGACACAGACCGCCCAGGCACCCCAGTTCCCCCTGTTGAAGTCCCAGAGCTCATGGATACAGGTAAGTCTAGAAATTGGTTTAGGTTTGGGTGTTTTCTAAAAGGAAGGACCTGGGCGCCTGGGTGGCTCAGTTGGTTAAGCGACTGCCTCCGGCTCAGGTCATGATCCTGGAGTCCCGGGATCGAGTCCCGCATCGGGCTCCTTGTTAAGCAGGGAGTCTGCTTCTCCCTCTCCCTCTGCCTTTCCCCCTGCTTCTTCTCTCTCTGTCTCTCCCGCAAATGAATAAATAAAAATCTTTAAAAAAAAAAATAAAAAAAAAATAAAAGGAAGGATCTGGGTCTGAAACCTCTCCTGCTTACAGCCTCTTTGGAGCCAGGAGCGCTGGATGCAAAGCCAGTGGAGAGTCCTGGAGAGCCTAGCCAGCTGACCCGGAAAGGCAGGAAGAGGAAGACTGTGACGTGGCCGGAGGAGGGCAAACTGAGAGAATATTTCTATTTTGAACTGGATGAAACTGAACGAGGTTAGCGGTCAAGATTCTTGTGTAGAAAGAAAGTGGGTATAGAGAGTTTAAAAAGGACTGGGTTGTGTTTATTTTTTCTCTTTTTTCTCCTTGCCAATAGTAAATGTGAATAAGATCAAGGACTTTGGCGAGGCAGCTAAGCGAGAGATACTGTCAGACCGACATGCATTTGAGACGGCCCGGCGTCTGAGCCATGACAACATGGAGGAGAAGGTGCCCTGGGTGTGCCCACGGCCCCTGGTTCTGCCCTCACCCCTTGTCACCCCTGGAAGCAACAGCCAGGAGCGATATATCCAGGCTGAGCGGGAGAAAGGAATCCTCCAGGAGCTCTTCCTAAACAAGGAAAGGTGAGCAAAACATGGTTCACACCCTGGGCGGCATGAACCATGTTTGTGTTAAGTGCTTGGACCCTTGAAGGGAACATGCCCTGGGTAATTCAGACACAGGTGGAGGCTAGGAGGGAATGTGAGGGCTTGAATAAGTAATTTGACTGTCATTCTTTTTTTTTTTCCTCCCCATCACCTGTGACATTCCTGATAGTCCTCATGAACCTGATCCTGAGCCCTATGAACCTGTCCCCCCGAAGCTCATCCCCCTAGATGAGGTGAGCACACGCTATGTGGTGATGGAGATTGTGATCGATTTTAATGAGTCTTTCAACATTTCATTTCCATTTCTAATGGAATGTCTCTTCATTCTTTCAAGTTAGTCCTGATTGTTCTTCTGTTCTTGCAGGAGTGTTCCATGGATGAGACCCCATATATTGAGACCCTGGAGCCGGGAGGAGCTGGTGGCTCACCTGATGGGCCAGGTGGCTCCAAGTTGCCTCCTGTCCTGGCCAATCTCATGGGAAGCATGGGTGCTGGGAAGAGCCCCCAGGGTCCTGGAGGAGGAGGCATCAATGTCCAAGAGATCCTCACCTCCATCATGGTATGAGCATGCCTTCCTCTTCTCCACTTTCTCTGGAATCTGCCTCTCTTTTTACCCCAGTACTCATCTTCTCACTTACCTTCTCATCTGGCTCTTTTGCATTTTATTGACCTTGCTCTTTAATCATCTTGCCTCACAGGGTAGCCCAAATAGTCATCCCTCAGAGGAACTGCTAAAGCAACCAGACTATTCAGACAAGATCAAGCAGATGCTCGGTAATCACCAGGGCCAGCCCTGGGGCCCGGGGGAGGAAGCCTACTGTGGAGTTGGGGGTGAGTGGGAAGCCAGGGGTATTGCTGCTGGGTGGGAGGGCAAGACTGGACAGAGCATTGCTCTGCCAAGTTGGTCTGAGAGGGCCAGAGAGGCACATCTAAGTAGGAAGTCATGCCTCTTCTAGAATCCTCCTGCTCTACTTTTTTTTTTTTTTTTTTTTTAAATAGTGCCACATGGACTCTTAGGCCCTGGTCCAATAGCCAATGGTTTCCCACCAGGAGGCCCTGGGGGCCCCAAGGCCATGCAACACTTCCCCCCTGGGCCTGGGGGACCTATGCCAGGTAAGTGGTGAGAGGTTGGAATGGGTTTACCTGCTTTAATTTTGGCCTGGTAATAGTGTAGGATTGACCCAAAGGTGGGAGGTGGTTTAGGCTGGGAGACGCCGTCCCTGAGTGTAACAGGTAGCTGATATTGTCTCTTTTTTTCCCTCACAGGTCCTCATGGAGGCCCTGGTGGGCCAGTGGGTCCACGTCTCTTGGGTCCCCCACCCCCTCCACGAGGGGGTGATCCCTTCTGGGATGGCCCAGGTGACCCCATGCGGGGTGGCCCAATGCGGGGGGGTCCAGGACCAGGTCCTGGACCATACCATAGAGGCCGTGGTGGCCGAGGAGGAAATGAACCACCTCCTCCTCCTCCCTTCCGGGGGGCCAGAGGAGGTCGCTCTGGAGGAGGACCCCCAAATGGACGAGGGGGCCCTGGTGGGGGCATGGTTGGAGGTGGTGGGCATCGTCCACATGAAGGCCCTGGTGGGGGCATGAGCAGCAGCAGCGGACACCGCCCCCACGAAGGCCCTGGCAGCGGCATGGGTGGTGGGCACCGGCCCCACGACGGCCCAGGCGGTAGCATGGGTGGAGGCGGGGGACATCGTCCCCATGAAGGCCCTGGTGGTGGCATGGGCAGTGGAAGTGGCCATCGACCCCATGAAGGCCCTGGCAGTGGCATGGGTGGAGGCAGTGGACATCGCCCCCATGAAGGTCCTGGTGGAGGAATGGGTGCTGGAGGTGGACATCGCCCCCATGAAGGCCCTGGTGGGAGCATGGGTGGAAGTGGTGGACATCGCCCCCATGAAGGTCCTGGACATGGGGGGCCCCATGGCCACCGGCCTCATGATGTCCCTGGTCACCGAGGCCATGACCATCGAGGGCCACCACCTCATGAGCACCGTGGCCATGATGGCCCTGGCCACGGAGGAGGGGGCCACCGAGGGCACGATGGAGGCCACAGCCATGGAGGAGGTGAGAATGGTTCCTGCTCGGTACTACATGGCTTTTGGTGTCCCCTGCAAGTGTTGGGGGAGCATCACTACCCTGGGTGTGCTAGGCCAGACATGAAATCACCCTGTGTTCAGTATGCCTGGCAGTTGCTACCCTTGGCCCTTTCCTCAAATCCGTAAGATTCCATGTCTCCCTGAAAGATAGTTTTCAGGATGCTATGGACGGGGTGGGGATGGGGTGCGAGGGTGGCATCAGCCTCTTAGCCGTGTTCTAACGACTCCGCCCTCATTCCCACAGACATGTCAAACCGCCCTGTTTGCCGACATTTCATGATGAAGGGCAACTGCCGCTACGAGAACAACTGTGCCTTCTACCACCCGGGTGTTAATGGGCCCCCCCTGCCCTAGGGACCGCCGCCTCTGCCCCACCCACACACACCCCTGTGGACTGCAGCCTTGCTCCTTCCACCCTGTTATGGCTTCTGTGAGGCCCACGTTCCCCTGTCCCCAGCTGAGGAGGAGCCGGCCCCCTCAGTTCCCACCTGCTTGGGTTGCTGGGGGTTTTCTGATCACTGGTGCGCATTGATGTACATACTTTCCTCCAGTCTGAGGAGGAGAGAGACTGGCTACATTCTGTACCCTGGACTGCTGAAGAGAAGACCCAGTTGGCTTCATTTTTTTGAGGAGATGTGCCCTATAACCCCAAACCCCTTTCCAGTATTACCCTTTATGCCTGAGAACCTAAAGCTGGTTATCCTGGAGAACACCTCTACTCTCCTATTGTGGGTCCTCCACATGCACACAGAACTGACACGGGATCAGCTGCACTTATGAAATCATCCCAGCCAAGTTCATTCTTCTCATGGGGTGGGGAGATGGTAAAAGGGGTATTAGATATCCCACTGCACTGAGAGGGCTCAATCAGGCTGGATTTGAGTTCTGGAATACATCATCCCCACTTCTGCCCTGGCACAGGCTTTCCATTGAGTCTCTTCTCAAGTAAGACTTCGCAACCTTCTGTGAACACCCAGGTCTGCGTCATGGGTCTGCTAGGTTCAGTGATGGTCAATTCACGTCTGCATCCAGTGGAAGTTGCAGCTGGCACGGGTGAGGCTAGTGGTGTCGGCCCACCCTTGCCTGCAGCTCATTCTGGAAACTGTAAAACACTTCAGTGAGACCAGCTTTCCATCAACTTGGCCACATTCTGGGCCTGACAGTCACACTACACGCACTGCCTTCAGGAGCTGGCGCCGCTCTGCCCCCACCTGGAGCCTTGTCGGTGCGAGGCCTCTGGCTCCCTTGCCCTGTCAGCCACCTCTGAGTCCCACCAGGTGCCTTCCTGGGTGGGTGCCGCAAGCTGACGTGCCCTTCCCCAGCCCTCTCCTTCCCAGGTCTCGGCATCAGTTTGTTTTCTATGAAAACAGTGGATTGGTTGGCTTTTGTGCAGGGTCTTGGGTTAGAGCCACGATGGATTTGAGGGATGAGTATTTTTTTTCTTTTGGTTTTGTATATTTTGTACATTAATAATAAACAGTGGAAAGAGAAGCAGCTTATTTAACCCCTAGTGTGTTTGGGCTCTTTGTTTAAAAAAAAAAACAACCATTCTCTGCTGCCTTAAGTACGTTAGTACGACCCTCTGTGGAATCCGTTACTCAGTCCCTTTGAGTAGCTAACATTTGTTTTGCTGTGAGGTCAGTGTGGGTGTTAAGTGAAATACTGGTGAAGGAATACTGTGAACATAAAAGACCACAGGTACAGGGTAAATCTCATGGGTCAACATTCTTTGAGCAATCCTTGGGACCTAGGGAAACAGCTTTTCACAGAATGCTGGAGCTGCTGATGGTGTGGGTGGACATTCGTTCCACCTCTAGTTGAACCTACCATCCCCGTGGAGTTGCCTAGGAAAGGAATTTAAGTGAGGGTGGGTGGAAGGAGGGAAAACTCCGAAGAGCAGTTTCTGGGGGAAGGAAAAACTGGTGGCTCCTTTTAAGAGCAGTTTCAGTGGACAAAGAAGAAAAGCAGAACAGCGTAGGCTGCTCTTCCCCCCAGAAAGTGGCTCTGCGGAGCAGACATCACTAGGCCTACTGCCTGATGATGTCGGATTCTTTTTTTTTTTTTTTTTAAAGATTTTATTTATTTGAGAGAGAGAATGAGAGAGAGAGAGCACATGAGAGGGGGGAGGGTCAGAGGGAGAAGCAGACTCCCTGCCGAGCAGGGAGCCCGATGTGGGACTCGATCCCGGGACTCCAGGATCATGACCTGAGCCGAAGGCAGTCGCTTAACCAACTGAGCCACCCAGGCTCCCTTTTTTTTTTTTTTTTTTTTTAAAGATTTTATTTATTTATTTGACAGAGAGACAGCAAGAGAGGGAACACAAGCAGGGGGAGTGGGAAAGGGAGAAGCAGGCTTCCTTCCCACAGAGTGGAGAGCCTGATGCAGGGCTCGATCCCAGGACCCCGGGATCATGATCTGAGCGGAAGGCAGATGCTTAACGACAGCCACCCAGGCACCCCATGATGTTGGATTCTTAAGGACAGGTGTTAGTTGTGTAAGGTCTTGGAGATAGGTTTTGGAGATCAGAACATGGATAGGATTAACTTCAAATAGGAATTTCTGCTATTCTTGAAACTAGAAATTAGAAGGATAGTGCATTTTGGGGAGGAAGGTGGGGGGCTATGGGGGCATGGGTTAAGAAGAATGGTCTTCAGGGGGCGTCTGGCTGGCCCAGTCAGTAAAGCATGTGACTTGATCTCTAGGTCAGAGTTTTGAGCCCCATGTTGGGTTGGGTAAACAAAAGACTACAAACAGCTCATTTTGGGGCATCTGGCAGGCTCAGTAGCATATGTGAGACTCGATCTTGGGGTCATGAGTTGGAGCCCCATGTTGGGCATGGAGATTACTTAGAACACAAGTTTCTCGACTGCTGTTTCCAGAATTGGCCACAGGAGGGCAATAACCTAAATTTCACAGGCCTCCTTTACATTGAGCAAGGCCAATGGAGCATATTTTTATTTTCCCTTTGCCCAGCCCGCCCAGACTATGCTCAGTCCGCCTATAGCGGCTCTGTGCACTCAGGACCTGAGAAGAGCACCTAACGTAAGAGCCAAACTAAGAGGTAAAATATGAATGAAGTAGTGGTGTCTGGCTGGCTCTGTCAGGGGAAGGTGCGACTCTGGAGCTTGGGGTTGTGAGCTGGAGCCCCACGATGGGGGTAGAGATTACTTAAAGTTTAAGAAAAGTTTTTTTTTTAAAAAACAGGCAGTACCCATCTCAAGTGGAAAAAGTGAACAAACATGTCACGACCTAGTGGGTCATTCTCTGACTTGTGTTTCTATCTCTGGCATCAGGCCACAAGAACCTTTAAAGAGAACTCAAAAGTTTTTTCTATTTTAATTTAAAAATGAGTTCAGCCATTTTTCTTTCAAATTCTGCATGAAAATCCAAAGTAACCTGTTAAGAGTTTTTTTTTTTTTTTGGACAAGGCTGATCATCTACATTTCAGCCACTGGCCCATTTCCACACCTTCAACAAGTCCCCACAGGCACTTCTCTCCGTTGCAGCTGGTCTGTTCTTTCTGCTCCCATCCACCCCCGTCCCCTCAAAATACCCTTCCCGCTGTAAACATTCTGTCAATCCCTCCCCAGGCACACCAGTTCCATCTCCAATTCTGGATAATCATTGCTCTAGTTCTCCCATTCCTACTCTTGGGCGGTAAACCTAATGTTGCAAAAACACGAAATCCTACCATCCTGGCTCAGTACAAATTGCTAACACCAACTCAACACTTACTGCTGCTCATCTGGCACCACAACTCCTGAGTGAGCCCCATTCAATGTGAGCACCATTTCCCCTTCACCTGAAAATATGAGTCTACATTTTCTTCCTTAGAGGAAGAAGGGTAGCTCTTTTCCAAGGCTCAACCCTTCTCTCAGTATCTCCTGTGTCCTCCACCCAGCAACCAGGACAATTTTTGTAAAAATGAGAACAGATCAATTCTCACCACCGTGCAGATGCCAGTGGTCTCCTGTTGCTCCTCAAATTGTGGCCCACCCCCATCAAGGCTTACAAGCCTGGAGTGTCCTGGCCCCCCTGCTTAAGTTCAAGCCACGTATCTTGCCTATGTCAAGCTCCTCCCAGCTTCAGGGCCTCTGCACATTCCCTAGGGCCCTTCTTTCCCACTCACCTAGTTTCTTCACCACCTTCGGGCCTTGGCTTTAACATTACTTCCTGAGATGTCTTCCTTATTCACGAGATTTAAAGATGACCCCCTACTTTCCTAGCACCATGTTTCCTTTGACATGCTCTAAAGGCACCGGAGTTCCTATCTTTGCACTAACAGACTCCCAGGTGATGCTCATGCTGCTGGCCTGGGACACTTTGAAAACCACTACCCTAGAGCAGCTAGTTCAAGTGTCTCCGACGTTGCACTTAGCACTGGCCACACGATGGCAATTTCAGACACTCCCCGGCCTCCTCTGAGTGCTGGATGGCCACAGGGCTCTCTCCTGGTTTTCACTTTTCCAATTGTAATATGACACTATTCCCTAAAACCCCCGTGTGTTCCTAAAACAGTGCTATCCTGGTTCTCATGCCCCTCCAGGACTCATGCTTTGGTCACCTTGTCCACATTTTACACAAAGAGCGAAGTGGTCCAGGATACTGGAGTCAGATAAATAAGGGCCATCATAAAAACAAAAAAACATACCAAAAAAACAGCCATCATATCAGCAACAACCCTCTCTGTTGAGGGTGGGTCACTGTGGGCAGGTCACTGTCCTCTGAGTCTTCATTTCATTAGGAAGGTGTGCAGAAGACTCTGCTTTTCAAAAACATTTCTATGGTACTTATTATGGACATTAGTGCATGACTTATAGATAACAAAAGTTGCTTATGAATAAGAATATTTAATTCTGTTAACGAAATTCCATTTTCCAGGCTTTGGGTTACCCATATATACTGTACCATGTAAACTGTGTATGTTTTTAAAAGATTTATTTATTTGAGACAGAGAGAAAGACTGTGCACTTGTGTGTGCACACACAAGCAGGAGGAGGGGCAGAGGGAGAGAGAGAATCCCAAGCAGACTCTGTGCTGGGCGGGAAGCCCAACGCAGGGCTCGATCTCACAACCCTAAGATCACAACCTGACCCAAAATCAAGAGTTGGACATTCAACTGACTAAGCCATCCAGGCACACCGTTTTTGTTCTTCTTGCATTTAATTTTTCTTTTTTGCTTTTTTTTGTTTTGTTTTTGAATTTAATTTCTATGTTGCTTTTTTTTTTTGGAGGAGGAGGAGGGGCCTTTGGCCCATATTTAAGTGCATTATTAGTAATTCCATTATTATGTATATTGAAGGAAAAAGTGCAATTTGCATCCATGGACAGGAGCTATTTTGGAGCATCTGAAGTACTTGTAGTGAAATTAGTGATCAAAAACTTGAAATGCAAAATTTCAGCATTCATTTTATAAATAACAGTCCTACGTATTTTACGTATCATCTCCTCTAGACTAGTGAACTGAAAATTTTAAGTGTAGCATGTAACGTGAAGCGTGTAACAAAAGCAAAAAATTTAAAGCATTTTACAAAATAATTACATATCTAATCCCTTAATAACTCTATGAGATAGGTATTTTTTATCATCTTCATTTCACAGATGAGGAAACAGGTGCCAAGAGGTGAAGTAACCTGTCCAACATCATGCCATTAGTAAGTGGACTTGAACCCTGGCTCCCACTGTCCTGTGACAGATTTACTTCACAGATGTGTGGAAATTACTTTACATGAAACATCTCACTCAGGTGCTTGGTTCAAGACCCTGATTTTTTTCCCCTCAAATTCCATAAAAGGGATGGTTCCCCTCTAATTTGAGACGTTTCCCAACAATGGTATCTCCACACCAAACCTGCACTTCCAATATAAAATCTGTCCTTCAGGCCCATTATTTATTCACTTGGTCAAAAAACAGTTCACCAAAAATAGGTGTTCACGCTAAGTCTTAACCAAACAGCTCCTCATATTCCCTCCAGAGCTGGACACATCAGCTCACTCTCTTCTAGAATTCTCCCCAGTCCCCACGCCTCTCCCCCGTCCTTTCCTCCCCATCCCTCCCGCAGCCCACTTCAGCATTTAGTTACCTCACTTGCAACAAGTCATGGGCTCCACTTCACACGCTTCTAATAGTCACACCACCACCTAAACCCACCTAAACTCACCAACCACTCACCACTGGTTATTTTCCAAAGCTACCTCTCCGAACTAACTCTAGCAAGAAAAATGGCCACACCAGCCATTCTTTCTCATTAACTCCCAAAATAGTTTTTTCTTCTTTCCAGGCCTTCAGTCTGCTCTTTTCCTAGATTCTAAAAATGGCTCCCTGTTCTCTCATTATTCAAATTCTTCTTTTTTAAAAGGCCCACCCTGGGCACCTGGGTGGCTCGGTTGGTTGGGCGACTGCCTTCGGCTCAGGTCATGATTCTGGAGTCCCGGGATCGAGTCCCGCATCGGGCTCCCTGCTCAGCGGGGAGTCTGCTTCTCCCTCTGACCCTCTTCCCTCTCGTGCTCTCTCTTTCTCTCTCTCTCAAATGAATAAATAAAATCTTTAAAAAAAAAATAAAAATAAAAGGCCCACCCTGAAGTGATCCTGTCAGTCAAATAATCAAGTTCTGGATAATCTTTCCCTTCTACGAGCATTTGGCAACTTATAGAATCTAGAGTACCACACATTTGGCAACTAACTAAATCACCTTCACGCTCAAGTCTCATTTTCTAAGTCTTCTGTAGCCAGACTACTGATGGACGCAGACCTTGTCTTTTCCTTTTTGTATACCCCACGGTGCTGTACACGATGGCTGACTCAGAAACTTTAGAGAGGATCGGTGCTCTGCCACAGGGCACAGCTTGGACAGTGAGAGGCCCAAGAGTCCCTGATGGGAGAGATGAACCTTTTCCTTCCTGTCTGAAGGGTTGGAGGAAGGGAGGGAGGCCCCTCAAACAGCAAGCACCATCTAAAATGCATTAAGACTGCAAGTTAGGGCCATCGGTATTAGTGGGGAAGAGTGGATACCGAATGCTGCCAGGAAACAGACCAAAAGCTGTCCCAATTCCCACGAAATCTCCAAACAGCGATAGGGTGGCAACAACTCCTTTATTTCTTCCCCTTGTAAAGGGAGATTCAAGTTGAGTGGCAATTCTTTCCTGCCCCCAAGTCCCCAACTGGACAAGTGACTGCAGGCACCAAACCCTGGGCTGAGTAATAGCACAGGCCTCAGAACCTGCCTCCAGCACTGCACTGAAACAGCTGTCGGTGTCCGTGAGTCAACATTAAATCCACCAGAAATGGGCAGCGCCGCTCAAAGACCAGGAGGCCAGCTGGGCCTGAAGCTTTCAGGTGGACCAGAGGCAGGGTTCTTAATGATAAAAGCATCTCGAGACAACTGGCTACTTAAGCTTGGCTGGATGAGGCCTACACAATGCAGGTCACCTCTGTGTATACGGAGGGACGTCAGTGATAAGGCTAGCTTAGTTATCTGAAGAAAACTGAAACAGACTGGTCTTTCAGAGACAAGGAACCGATCAAAGTGGTACCCTGGTCACATCAAGATCATGCTCCGCCTTCCTGTGCCTGAGTGGCTGCTGGGTCAGCTGCAGACCAGAGGAAGGTGTCCAAGCGGAGAAAGGGAGACAACAGGGGACTTGTAGGCCACGCAAGCTTGTCGTTCAGGAGACTTCCAAGAAGGAAAACTCACTCTCGGGGTCTGTTGACCATGACTTCGCCCAGGGCCTCCAACACTTCCCGCTTATAGTCCTCGAAGTCACCATCGATCTGGCTAACACTCTGCTCCTCCACCACCCACAGTTGGCAGTTGGTTTCTGTGATGAGTCGGGCATCGTGGCTGACAACAATCACAGCTTTGAAAAAAGATGAGAGAATGGAGGGCAGGGAGGGAGGCGGTAGAGGGGAATCAGAACCTGAAAGAAGGGAGCTCTGGCGAAAGGACACTACAGCCTGGTCCCCAAGGAAAGGAAGAGGGCGCACCCTGAGCCAACTTACCGCCCTTGTATTCATTGATGGCTTCCCCGAGAGCATCAATAGACTCGATGTCCAAGTTATTGGTGGGTTCATCCTACGGAGGAGACGTTCCATGACCAAGCATTACAATTCCTTTCATTACTGTCACATTTAGCCCCTCCTGCAGTCCACCTCACTCACCAAGATGAGGACATCAGGCTCCCGACAAGCCAGCTCAGCAAACACAACTCGGGCTTTCTGCCCACCTGTAGCAAAGGAAAGAGGAGGGCCATCACACTTCACTGCCTTATGTTTCTGAAGGTAAGCTGAACATGTGTATGCAGAGATTCCCCAAGTCGTAGCCCCTCCTCTCTTCTGACTTGAAGTATAGTCTGGAAGTGTGAAAATTAAGGGGGACGACACCTTCCCTAGCCCGCTACAGTGGTACCAGAGAGTTTGCAGATCTGGATGGTGTGGGCGTGACTCTCAAGGCCAAAGCGGCCCAGGCACTTCCGGGCATCCTGGTAGGGCAGGTTGAAGCCCCGCTGCAGATACTCAGTGGGCGTCTCCTCCATGCGCAGCTGCTCTGCGTACTGCTGGTTGAAGAAGCCAATTTTCTGCCCAAGAGAGGGGAGGTGGTCTGTGAAAATCATACTTCCTCTCTCAGATTCTTTATTCCTTAATTTCCAAAGCCAACTTACCAGCCGGTGGTTCTTTCTCATTTCTCCACGAGTCTGCAAGGAAAAAATACGTGGGAAGATAAGGGAAAGGGGAGAGGTGCTGCCGCTCCACATCCCAACTTTTCTGGAGGGGAGACAGATACCAAAATCGGTAGTCCATGCAGGAAAGGGAACCCAGATGTTCTCCCTAATGTGACAACGGCACACCCGGGAAAAGAGAAGAGTACAGAGCCAAAGAGGAGTGAAGGGAGAATAAAGAGGGGAGACAAAAAGCACAGATTCAGAACCAGGAGGGGACTGACCACAACCAAAGAACACCCCCTTCCCACCCAGGAAGACCCACCAATGGCATCTTTTTCAGCCTCAAATAAGGGTTAAGAGACAGTTTGTGAGAGGACCTAAAAACACCCTGTGGTGTGTGAAGAAAAGGGCCCTTCTCAACACTTTCCTGGAGGGAGTAGAGAGGGCCACAACCAATCTAAAACATGGTATGGCAGTGTGCTGTAAAAGTGCTGAAAGCGAATCTAAGGAGGATATTCTAAAAAAACACTACGTTCATGAACACATACACTAAGAGTATTTACTATACAACTGACCTTCAGTGAAAAAAACAGAAATGATCGAAGTGACTGACATCAAATAAATCATAGCAGACCCACAAAAGACGCAGATAACTACTGGCATGGAAAAATGCTTAATGTACGTTACCTGAAAGAACTAGCTGTAAAACAATTCATCTGAGAGCCCATTTTGGTTAAAAAAAATTATATGCACATTTGCAGAGGAAAAAGAAAAAGCAATCCATCAAAATTAATACCAGCGATCTCTAGAGCTTCCTCTGACTTATGCAATTTCTAAGCATTCTACAGTGGACTTGCATTTCTCGTGTAACCAAGACACACATGGGGGAGGGGCACCCCCAGTCCAAGCCCTCCCCTGGCTCTCCCCCACCACGCCCATCTACGGCGTTCTCCTCTGCAGCACCTCTCAGGACAGTGAGGCCTCGGTGAGGAGTGCTGTATTAAAATCTCCAGCACAGAAGGGGGCGCCCTGATTCTAGCACCTGGTGAACACCGCCTTTTCACACCTGTCCCGGCTCCAGGACTTACTGGGGTCAGCTTGCCTGTCAGCAGCAGGAGCAGGGTGCTCTTCCCCACGCCGTTGGGGCCCACGATGCAGACTGCAGGGAGGAAGACAGGGAGTTAAAGAGGGCCCCAGAAATTGTCCCTGCGGTCCAGCTCCCCATCCCCAAGCACCCGACACCAACTCACTCCTGGAGTCCATGTCAATGCCAAAATCCAGATTCTTGAAGAGTGGTTTCTGCCCCTCATAACCAAACGTGACACCTGAGAACCAGGAAAAGAAGTGATTCACTTCCTGTTCAGGGTTACCCTGAAGGTCCTGTCCTGGCCTTGGAGAAGAGGAATGACTCCCATGCTGGGTGGAGGACGCGGGGTGCACGTGCTCGCGCCCCGTGCTGCCGGACTCTGCAGCCACTCACCGTGCAGACCCAGCACAGGAGGGCTGAGCGGCGGGGGGTTGGGGAAAGTGAAGCGCACAGTGTACTCCTTGGGGCGCTTCAGGAGCTCCGGAGCCTCTTGTGATTCCTCATCCTGGTTTTTCCTCCGGCATTTCTGCTGCTTTCGAGTCAGGGCTTCCTTTGTCTGCTTTTCCTGGAAAGGAAGGGAAAAAGGAGAAATCCGCACCCTTCACAGCAGTCCCTGAAATGAAGGGCGGTGTCCCAGAGGCCCCCCTTTCTCTGTGCTGAGAGAAGAGCCCCTCCCCAGGCCAGGATGATCCTCAGGTGCTCACCGCCTGCTTGGTGGACTTGCCGCCTGCCTTTAGCTCCTTCAGCTTTTTCTCCTGCTTCTCGTACTGCTTCAGCAGTTCTTTCTGCTTCTGCTGATACATCTTCTTGAAGGTCACTACAGCAGAAAAGGAGGATGGGCATCAACCGCTGTTTTTCTCCCGAGCAGAGGGACAACTGGGACCAGTAAGGACAGACGGGGGCATTACTGTCTAGACTCTGAAGACTTAGCTTATCACCACATCCCTAGGCGGCCTTCCTCTGAGGCCTTTCCTTGAGGCCTCATCTCTTTCCTCCTCCTACAAATGATCCTACTTACTGTAATTGCCCCGATAGTAATGGAGCCGCTGGGCATCAAGATGGATAATATCGGTGCAGACATCATCCAGGAAGCCCTGGTCATGGGAGACGATGAGCAATGTCTTCCGCCAGCCCTGGAGGTAGCTGGGTTTTAGAAAAGAGTGTGGACATGTCACAACGGTCAGGTTAGGGTTAAGTCAGGGGAAGCAGACAGACAACGAAAACAGGGAGGAAAAGAGGAAGTGCCAGACGGTAAGGATAGAGTGTGAACAGCGAGAGGAGACAGGACAGGATGGGAACCAAGGGTACGAGGACTGTAATCGAGGGTGACGCACTTATTGAGCCAGATGACAGCATTGAGGTCCAGGTGGTTAGTGGGCTCATCCAACATCAGCAGCGTGGGTTCCATGAACAGCGCCCTAGAGGGTGGGGTGGCAGAATGTAGGCTCGGGGTAGGAAGGTCTTTGCTCAGAAAACCCCACAAAAGCCTCTGGTAGGTGAGACCATGAACACTCCTTCCCCATCTCTCCGCAGAGAAGCTACTGTGCAGGAGATGTCGTTGAAAATGTACTACCAGGTAGGGAGGAAAGATCTTGAGTCTGACAATGCAGACGATATGGGAGGAAGCAGAAAGCCTTAAAACTCCCTCCTGGCCTTAGAACAGGAAGAAGGGAAAGCCCCCCAGCAGATGGAGGCTGGAAGGGGGAGGGTGGTGATGTGGGTGGCCCACCTGGCCAGGGAGACACGCATGCGCCAACCCCCCGAGAACTTCTGTGTGGGCCGATTCTGCATTTCAGGGTCGAAGCCCAGACCAGCCAGGATCCGCCGGGCTTTGGCCTCTGCAGCTGCTGCCCCGGTCGCCCGCAATTCCTCATACACCTGGAGGAGGGAGAAGAGGACACATGTCCGAAGGTTCCAGAAACCCCCAAGACTTAGCCCATGTCCCCTGCGCCATCTCCTCTACCTTCTCTAGCCTCTCAGCAGCTGTGTCGTCTCCCTGCTCCAGCTGCCCCTGGAGCCGTCGCTCCTCTTCCAGCAGCTTCAATCGCTTGGTGTCGGCTCGAAGAACAGCCTGCACAGCTGGTGTCTCATCTGCTACCACCTCTGGGGGGTAAGGGGAGAACCATGCGGGGTAAGGGGAGAACAGACAGGTCGCCCAGAGAGCCAAGACTCCCATTCCTTCTTTCCTTCAGCTCTATTTCTGGTTTGCCTGACCGTGCCCAACACTTTGTACTTGTTCCAAATAAAATATTCTCTAATCTCTCCTCTCCTTAGCATCCATCTCCCTGTCCCCAATCTCCCCCAGAGCCCTTCCCACTCCATAACCACAATTTCTTCTATTCTTGGTTGACTCTTCTCCCCCAACTGCCCACCCTTCAGACCCGTTTCACCTCCCCCACCAGCCCCTGTCCCACCACTGGCCTCACCCTGCTCACACAGCAGCACGTCGATGTTGGGAGGGATGCTCAAGGCCCGGTTGGCGATATGCTTGAGGAGAGTGGTCTTGCCCTTGCTGGGGAATGAGAACTACTGAGACCAAGCCACCCCTGAAAAATCTCTTACTTTCCTTCCAGCCCCTTCCCCTTTACAGCTCCAGCCCCTCTCCTCACCCATTGGGCCCCACGAGTCCGTAGCGGCGGCCAGCTACAATGTACAGGTCTGCGTTGACAAATAACTCCTTGCCGTGGGCCGAGATGCTGAACTTTTCCAGCTGTAGTCATCAGGGAAACAGTGGCAGAGGGAAGGAACAAGTATACGAGAGCCCCCCTCTCACACAGCAGCTGCAACTTTCTCTCTGCTGGGAAGCCTCTGACAGACAGCTGCAGCACGACCCTCTCCTCACCACGCTGGTCTCCTTCCCGTCCACTGCTTTGGACAGGAGTCTCCCAGATTCTAAGCCAGTCTAGCCCATCCCACCCTACTTCGCCCCCGAGGGGGGGCCCCTCTATTTCTGTTGGTTTTCTTATTTTCTCGCTGAAGGTGGCAGAACTCAAGGTATGGAACACACCTCCAGGCTTTCTTCCAGTGGACTAAGCCACTCATACCTTACTCCCTCGGCTGCCATGGCCGCTCAGGGAAAGGTGGCACTTCCCTGAGCAAAATGGTTGGGTGGGAGCCCCCTCAGGCCTTACCTTAATGTCAGATGCATTTTCTAACATGGCTTGGCGGGAGGACATCTCTGCTTGGGACACGGAGAAATCATTTTCAGCAGCATTGGCTGCTTTTAATGAAGCCACCTGGCGCTCGTACTCCATCTGAGAAGGAAGGAAATCACTTATGAGGCCACTGTCTGCCAGTTATCCGTCACAACACAGCCACATGTCATCAGCCACCAAAAAAAAAAAAAAAAAAAAAAAGCTAACAGGATACACTTCTTTCCTTACTCCAATTGTTTTTCTTGCAGTAACCCCCGAAGCTCTCTTTTCTTGCCCTCCCAATTCAGATGTCCCCTATTTGAAAATACATGTTTCTAAAGATTTTAAGTAATCTCTATGCCCAAGGTGGGGCTTGAAGTTACAACCCCAAGAACAAGAGTCGCATGCTCTAACAACTGAGCCAGCCAGGTGCACGACTCAACCCCACTGAAATATTAAAAAAATCAAATGCTCCTAACTTAGACCAAGGTCTTACCTGTTTCTTTAGCTTTTTCTTCTCCTTTTTGCTAAGGTGAGCATAAGGATCATCAGCCTTAGACTCCCCTTCCTCTTCTTCCTCTTCTTCTTCCTCTGAACCCTGTGAGAACCAGGGGGTGATAAAAAAAAAACAAGAGACTCCTTCTAGAACCCAGATTTCATGTCATTCACCCAGTCCCACAGCTTGTTCCTTCTCCACCCACGTCCTGAAATATCTTGCTGGGTCCTCTCGCTCTCATACACACCCCTGGGCTCCCTCGAGTCCTTCAGCCACTTCTGCCACCAGGAATAATATAAATAAATGGTATGAACGTGCATGTATAAAATATTAACAATTCTACATACCTACAAATTTAACTACCCATACCACTGGGGGGGGAGAGGAATAAATGAAACAGGTTCCTTTCTTCATGTATCAAATGAGTTTCTGTGGCTTACATGCTAACATGCAAAGAAAAGGTCCAGGAATCCTAACATACAGCACCGAGTAATCTACGTGAATCCAGAATCAGAAAGTGCTAGAGGTGCAGGGACCTCAGAAATCACTAGATCACACAGACAACTGCGCCCCCCCGCCCCCGAGGTGCAAAGGTCACACAGCTGGTGAATGGCAGAGCCAGAACCCAGATCATCTGAGGCTAACACCACGGTCCTTTCCTCTCTGAATCAAGAGCTGAATGGGGCATGGGCCAAACCTTACCTGATGCCTATTTTTATATGGCCTACAAGCTAAGAATGGTTTTACATTTTTTTTTTAAAGATTTTATTTATTTATTCATGAGACAGAGGGGGAGGGGAGGGGGAGAGAGAGAGAGAGAGAAGCAGAGGGAGAAGCAGGCTCCCAAGGAGCAGGGAGCCCGATGCGGGACTCGATCCCAGGACCCTGGGATCATGACCTGAGCTGAAGGCAGACGCTTAACCACCTGAGCCACACATTTTCAAAGAGTCGTTTTTATTTTTTTTTATTTATTTTATTTTTTTTTAAAGATTTTATTTATTTGAGAGAGAGAGCACACGAGAGGGGGGAGGGTCAGAGGGAGAAGCAGACTCCCCGCTGAGCAGGGAGCCCGACGCGGGACTCGATCCAGGGACTCCAGGATCATGACCTGAGCCGAAGGCAGTCGCTCAACCGACTGAGCCACCCAGGTGCCCCAAAGAGTCGTTTTTAAAAAAAGAGTATGCATCAGAGATTGTACGTGGTCCACAAAGCCAGAAATATTTACTACGTAGCCCTTTACAGATGCTTGTCAACTCCTGTAGTAGTAGAAACACCCCCAGATTCTCTTCCCCTCCCCAAACCAAGGGCCACAGAGTGCTAGTCCCTCAGCTCATCTTTTCCCAACACCAAAATACACACCTGCTCTGCTTTCTTGGCCTTCTCCTTCCCCTGTCTGGGTGGCTCCTTCTCTTTTGTTATTTCTTCTTCTTCCTCCTCCTCCTCTTCATTGTCCAGAGCGGCAAATTTACTGTGAGGCTAACAGGGAAGACAGTAGGTCTGATGAAATGTTCGAATTCCTGAGACCCAGCAGGGGACCCTCCTCCTGCCAATGCTCCCTCACCTTGGCCTTCCCCTTTGACTTCTCTTCCTTGCCCTTTCTGCCCTTCAGCCCAGGCTGTTGTTCCTCAGATACAGCCTGGAGAACACACACAGACAGAAAATTAATTTACTACCTTGTTGTTTACTAAGCATTTCTAAGGAATCTAGAACTGGGAATTAACTATACCGAGTGCTGCTGAAGACAAAACGAGCTCTAGGAAAACCCTAGCTTCCGGCTTCAGATGAAACAGTGAAGAGCTAATTAGATGATGTCAGCAAAGCTAAAGGACCGTGAAATCAGGAAAGCAAGCAATGTGGGTGGGGTGGCACTGGCACTGGAGGGCTTTGGGAGGGCAAATTTTGAGAGGAGATAATGGATGCTGAGCTTGGAAAAGGCATTCAAAGGAAAAGGGAAGACACAGCATAAAGAACAAAGAAAGGCTTCAGGGCGCCTGGCTGGCTCAGTCGGTAGAGCACACGACTCTTGACTTCGGGGTTTTGGATGTAATTGGATGTAAAAATTACTTAAAACAAACAAAAACCTCCAAAAAATGCTTCAAAAGACATAGAAATGAATGCTGAAGCATGAACAGGCTGATCTAAAACATACACATGGAAGAATCCCAAGTAACCCTGCAGAAGGGTCCAAGTGGAAGAGCAAAGACTTGAGGCCCTTTGTTTCAGATTTTGAGTCTGAAGGCCACAGAATCATTACAGACTTCTGAGTGATGAGAAGAGATATTAAAAAGCTAATTTGATAGTGTCAGTGAGACAGACCTAGAAGATCTAGTTAGTTTGTATGTATGTATGGATGTATGTATATATTTATTTACTTATTAATTAGCAAGATTCATGACCAGTATGGAGCCCAAAGCAGGGCTTGAACTCACGGGGCTTGAACCCACAACCGTGAGACCAAGACCTGAGCTGAGATAAAGAGCTGGATGCTTACCCAACTGAACCACCCAGAAGTCCCTACAAGAACTGGTTTAAAGCAGGAAAAGGGGGGCCTGGCTGGCTCAGTCAGTGGAGCATCTGACTCCTGATCTCAGGGTTGTGAGTTCAAGCCCCACTTGGGTGTAGAGATTACTTAAAAATAAAATCTTAAAAAAATAATAATTTAAATAAATAAAAGCAGGGAAAAAGGCAAGGGAATTACCACACCACAGCCAGAAGGCGCTATATGGGGTGGGAGTGACCAGCAGAGCTGCCAGTTTACCTTATTGATCCGATTCTTCTCCAGCTTGGCAGGCTTAGGAGGATGTTTTTCTTCTTCCTCCTCACCCTCACTCTGATCCTGAATCAGGGCTGCAAAAACATTACCAGCCTAGAGAATGAAAGGGCCGGAGAAGTCAGTGGGATGGTCAAGGCTGCCCCCTTGGGGTCCCTGTTTACAACACAGATGGCTTACCTTAGTTTTCTTCCCTCCTCGGGGTATGGGGGCAGGGACTGAAATGATAAGGGGAGACGATGAGGTAGGAAATGATTATAATGTCTGGTTCTTCAGTCTAATCCAACTCAAAGATCAAGGAACGAGGCACTTTACTATTCATGATTCAGGGATTCTGAGAACCCATTTCTCCTCAGGTCATTTACCCTCATCCTCCTCATCACTGGCTGGCACAGAGAGTTTCTTAAGACGCTCCATGAGCTCTTTCTCTTCTCCATCATCATCCACATCCTTCTTCCGCCGGCCTTTTCGGGTGTCTCGTTTCTTTTTTTGCTGCTGAAAGGAAAACAGAGTAAGACAATGAAGCCCAGTCCCCTGCTGCATCTCTGCCCCAGAGTTCCCCATGAGCTCAGGGAACGAATGTGAGCTAGGCAGGGGTTGGTGGATGGATCCCCTGACACTTGAACCTGCTGTTGCTGTTGCTCCTTCTCCTTGAGCACTTTCTCTTCTTCCCCAGCCTGTTTGTCTTCTACAGCTAGCTCCTCAAAGAACTGCAAAGGAATTTAGATATAGGTAAATGTGTCTCTGAGACCAACCAAGCCCTTCTCTGCCACACACAGGCCCAATGACCCTCCAGTCCACTCTCACCTTCCTTCCTCTCTTGACAAAATCCTTCCTCCTCCCTTGAACCCCCCGCCTCCTTCACATGGCCATATTCTTTTTTTTTTTTTTTTAAGATTTTATTTATTTGAGAGAGCAAAAGTGAGAGAGATCACAGAAGGAGAGGGAGAAGCAGACTCGCCGCTGAGCAGGGAGCCCGATGCAGGACTCGATCCCAGGACCCTGAGATCAACATGACCTGAGCTGAAGGCAGATACTTAACCAACTGAGCCACCCAGGCGCCCCACATGGCCTTATTTTGATTGGAAACACCCATGGTCATTTCTCACCCACAACCCTCATTTCCTCACCGTTTTTTTGGTCTTTTTGTCCTTCTTCCCCTTCTTCACCACTCTGTCTAGAAGGTTAAGCAGACATTGTGAATGCTTATCTACAAATTCCAAAGCAGCACGACCTTCCCTGCAAAGCTCTCAGTGACTCCACCCTATTTTACTATTTTCTATCATTCTCTAGGCATCTGCACTGTCCCACAAAAGACAATGGTGCCTTGGTGGCAGTGGAAGGGAGAAGGAGAATTCATATGGCAGAGACAGAGGTGGGAAGCAGTCACAATATTCAGAGTGGACTCCTGTGTTTTTTGTTTTTTAAAGATTTTATTTATTTATTATTTTATTTATTTTTAAGTAATCTCTATACCCACCATGGGGCTCAAGCCCACAACCCCGAGATCAAGAGTCCTACACTCCACCGACTGAGCCAGCCAGGTGCCCCAATGACTCCTATATTTTTAGCTTGGCAAAATTAGTTGCACTAGTGGTACAATTTATTAACTCAGAATATACTGGAAGAGAAGGTCCCCTCTCCCCACCCCTGCCACCCATGAGGAGAAAAGTAGGACAAAAAATATTATAAATTCAGTTTCCTGTATCATTTGTGAAAAGCACAGGATCATGTAAACAGAGCTCTCTGGTAAGTAAACAAGTATCTGGGTCTATGCCCCACCTGCTCTGCTCACATAACATTCTAGCACAAATCACACTGCGTTTTATTTAACTGTCTGTACATCAGTGTTTCACCCCAGAGAACAACCTGACAGACTGTCTGGCTTGGGTTCCCATGGACCAAAGTGGGATGTCCTATATAAAACCTGACTAACTGAACAAATTCCAGCCCCTGCGTTCTATCCAACCCTGTTTCCCTGAAGGCAACTCCCTCTACTACTCTGCCTAACTTCCTCTCTCCCTGCCCCCATCAGACAGGGACGCAACCAGGAGCCTCACAAGTTCTCTTCCTGTCCAGGCCTACCCACCATCATGTTCCCCTCCAAACAATCCCATCCATCCACTGGTATCCAGTTCTATCCAGGAGCGCTCCTGTAATCATTTAGCTAGAAAGAAAGAAAAAGAGAGAGAGAGAGAGAAAGGAAGGAAGGAAGGAAGGAAGGCTTTCTGCTACCAACCACATTAAGTATTTTTCTTTTTAAAGATTTTATTTTTTTATTTGACAGAGAGACACAGCGAGAGACGGAACACAAGCAGGGGGAGTGGGAGAGGGAGAAGCAGGCTTCCTGCGGAGCAGGAAGCCCGACGCGGGGCTCAATCCCAGGACCCTGGGACCATGACCTGAGCCGAAGGCAGATGCTTAACAACTGAGCCACCCAGGTGCCCCAGCTCTCTTTTTTTTCTTTTTTAAGGTAGACTCCATGCCCAATGTAGGGCTTGAACTCCTGATCCCGAGATCAAGAGTCACATTTTCTGCCAACTGAGACTGCCAGGCGTCCCCCACATTAAGTATTTTTAGGCTAAAATTCCATATAGTCCATATAGTCCATACTAATCCACTATTCAGGATTCCTCACCATTTTAGTGAACATCTACTCTACCTAAAACTGGAGTCATCGAAGGACAATCCCTGTAATTTAAAGCTTTGCAAACTAAAAGGGTCCTATTCTATCTTTTCTGCTATGTTTCCCTACCCACACCTATGTTCTGGACATTAACCTCTCCTTCCCAGGCATACGTAGTCTGTCTTTGCTTAATCTGTGTCTTCCATCCAGAACATATTTCAAAATTTGATCCCCACATCATGAGTTGAAAAGATGTGCAGAAGAAGTAATGAAAGGTTGAGGTTCTTTCAGGTTCCTGTCTTCTGTCCTCTTTTGGCTTCAATCTGCATACTCTCCCTAGCAGACTTCTCTGCATCCAACGTTTCAACAACACACCTGTATCTTTACTTCCAGCCTAAGATCTCTCTTCTTGCCATCTGCTTTTAGAAGTTTCCCAGAAATCCCCAACTTGGCATTCAAAAGTTGATCTTACCTCTTCCCACTCCCAATCCTACAGCCCATTCCTGATTTCAAGCAATAGTCTACTACCCACTGAGTTACTTGAGTGTCATTCTTCTTCTTCCTTCATTCAGTTCTCAGACCTGCTCAATATTATTTCCTCAGTAACTTTTTTTTTTTAGATTTTTATTTATTTACTTGAGAGACAGAATGAGAGATAGAAAGCACGAGAGGGAAGAGGGTCAGAGGGAGAAGCAGACTCCCTGCTGAGCAGGGAGCCCGATGTGGGACTCGATCCCGGGACTCCAGGATCATGACCTGAGCTGAAGGCAGTCGCTTAACCAACTGAGCCACCCAGGCGCCCTTTCCTCAGTAACTCTTTAGTCTTCACTGCCTTGGCTTACTCTCTTACTACTTCTCACCTAAATCATCGCCAGAGCCTATTCTATGGTCATCCTGCCTCCAATCTTGACCAATTCAAGCCATTCTCCACTGCTCAGTGTTGTCAGGATGAGCTGATCAGATCAGATGTCTTTAGGATTAAAGTCTTTGGAATAGTGTATGAAGTCTTCCATTATTTGTCTCCCGCATATCTTTCCAACCCCATCACGTTAGTCACCCAATACTGGGAACCAGCCAGGCTCACCTGTCTTTACCTTTGCACAGACTTCTTTCTCTGCTTGGAATGCTCCTCCCCTGGCTAACACACACTGATCCTTCCAGAATCAACTCAGCTACCACATATTCCTGAGAGGCTTTGTGGACATTCCTACCCTATCTGTCTGAATAGATGCTTCTCCTCTCTGCTCTAGTCTCACAGCATTCTCAAGCACGTTCATCACTCTGTCAACTACTTTCTGATTAATGCTGTCCCCTCCATTAAACTGGGTGCCCCTTTGGGGCAAGTCTTATTTTTTATCTCTACTTTCCCAGTTCTCTGTACAGTACCAGGTATACAAGAGGCACCCAATGAATGCTTGAAAAATTAGTCACTGTGTACCTAGTAATTATTTGTATCCATTTTCTCTCCCCTTGGAGTGCCTTCAAATTTGGGAGCATGTCTTCCTATTTTTTTCTCCCCGCCCCCCAAGCACAATATATATCGTGATTAAAAGCAGCTGCTCAACAAACATTCACTACTTTTAAGTAAACCTTAACTCTCATTCCAACACCCAGTAGCTAGCTATACCACACTCTTGCTCCAGATGAGCCTGATGTGTATTATGCAAGAGCTCAAGAGGAAGTCATCCTCTCGCTCCGGAGCGGGTATAGGTGGGTGGCGCGGTATGTGTGCGTGCGTGCATGAGCGCGCACTGGGAGGGGTATCGAGGCACCGCTTACAGATTCCTGTGGAATGTGGAATACAGTATGGTGGGGAAGATGTCCAAAAGAGAAGGAGGACTTTCTCATTTCTCCCCATCTCTCCCAAGGCACCATATGCTTTTCCTCGTCTCTTGCCCAGTCCCACTGCAACTCGTTCGCGACAGCCCGGCACTTTTTCTTTCGCTCCCACCCAACTCCCCCCGGCCTGGGTAAACGCTTTCCGGCCCCATTATACGCATGCGCAGTGGCCCTCCTCACGGCCCGGTCTGTCACACACCCCGTAACCCCTTCCTAAAACACGCGTACTCTCTTCTCCCCTTTTCTCCCTCGTTGGTTCTCTGCCTATCAGCCTCACCTGTGGGGCTCGTACTCTCCCCATCCCCGATCCATTCGGGTTCCGGCGCCTGCTGCTTGGGTCCCTTCGGCATCGCGGTGGCAGTTACAGCTACTCTGGAGACGCCGGGCGCTATTTCCGCTTCCGGCAGCGTGGGGTCCCGAAGGGGGCGGGCTCTCCACTGCCGGCCCTGTACTTCGGCAGTGCACGTGCGCGCCGCGCCGTCATCTCGGGGGCGTGCCTGCGGCGACGGGGCGGAGCCGGTGTCCGCCTAGTCCCACAGCGTCAACAAAGCGCTTAACGGCTGTCGGGGAATCCTGAGCCGGTGACTCCACGACGCTGCATGACTAAGTACTGAACATAGTAATTTCGGACTAGTGCGGAGGGGCAGAGGCATCCATTTTTCCTTTTTGTTTTTTAAGTAGTAGGAGCAGAAAGACGCAGTCCATCTGCTTAGGAAGAGGCCTGGTGTTGAGATATGTTGCAAGGCCATAAAGTGTAGAGTCGTAAACGATGAACTGTCCCCTAACAGAGTGGTGAAGCTTGGGTTCATTTTGGGGGTTGGTGGTGGGGCTAACAGTTTTTCTGAGGTATAATTGATACACAATAAACTGCACATACAGTAAATTGTCAGGGAATAAACTGCAAAATGTACACTTGGATCAAAGTTTTGACATATATATAACCATTAAACCACCACCACAGTCAAGATTTGGGTTTGCTTCTAACTGTACCACTTAATAGACGTGGGAGCAAGACGCTCCCATAGCTCTTTCAGCTCCCGTTCTCCCCTTAAACCATTAAAACCATGCTCTTGTCTCTATACCATTATGAGTCCATTCTTGCCAAGATCAACAGATAGGGGGCCAATTCTCTGTCCTTATCTTACTCTCCCAGCAGCATTTGACACACATACATGACCACTCCCACTTCCTTGTTTTTTTTTTTTTTTTTTTTTTTTCAGGGACCCTGCTCTCTGTAGGTTTCCCTTCCATTTCAGTGGCTGCTCCCTTTCCCTCCTTTCCTGGCTTCTCCTCAAGTCTAAATGTTTTGAGGCACATTCTTTGACATTCTCTATTCTAGACTTAGCACTCATGTCTCATGACTTTTTTTTTTTTTTTTAAGATTTTATTTATTTGACAGAGAGACAGCGAGAGAGGGAACACCAGCAGGGGGAGTGGGAGAGGGAGAAGCTGGCTTCCCGCGGAGCAGGGAGCCCGATGCGGGGCTTGATCCCAGGACCCCAGGATCATGACCTGAGCCGAAGGCAGACGCTTAACGACTGAGCCACCCAGGCGCCCTGTCTCATGACTTTAAATACCATCCATAACTGATGAAGACCCCCAAATTTCTCTCTCTTTTTAAAGATTTTATCTATTTATTTGACAGAGAGAGACACAGAGAGAAAACACAAGCAGGAGGAGTGGGAGAGGGAGAAGCAGGCTTCCTGCCAAGCAGAGAGCCTGATGTGGGGCTTGATCCCAGGACCCCAGGACCATGACGCGAGCCGAAGGCAGACACTTAACAACTGAGCCACCCAGGCGCCCCCCAAATTTCACTTCTTGACCCCAACTTCTGCCGTAAGCTCCAGGCTCACAAATCCAACTTCTTATTGGACGTCCTGAGATCTCTAATAAATATCTCAAATTAATATGTATAAAACCGAGCTCTTGTTTTTACTCCTTAACCCTGTGTCTCTTCCAGGTTTCCCATCAAAAAATCATACCACCTTTCATTTAGTTACTTGGGCCCAAACTGAAAGGTCATTCTCTTTCTTCATTCCCCCTCATCAGCAAGCCATGTCTACTTCATTTATTCAAAAAATATATTTATTAAGCAAAGAGAAGACACGACACTCTTGAGATATCTCCCCAACCCCCTCTGGCCAACCCTCCCCCCTCTCCTTGTTTCACCCTCGTTCTTGCTTGGCCACCAAATGTCAGCCATCCTCCAGGCTGTTCTGGGCCCTCTCTTCCCACTTGACATTCTCCTCTCAGGTGACTTTAACAACGGATTCCTCAGAGAGTTCTACCCAACCACCACATCTTAAGTAGCCCCCAACCATTATTCTCTATACAGTACCTCATTTATTTCCTTAATATCATTAATCACAACCTGTAATTATTCATGTGTTCACTTTTGAGAAAAACAGCCCCTGACAACTGGGAATTGGCCTGATTCTAACAGCTTGGCCATGGTGCTCAGGTTGAACATAATCTCACAGAACACCAATGTCAGACAAGGCTACTGTGACTGTCATGAAGACAAAGTTCATAATCTTCTCTAAGCACAAAGATAAGGTCACTCTGCAAACATCATAAATATTAAACAGCCCCCTCTCCACTAAAATGGTGGCTTTTTTTGACCAGCTACACTTTTAGCCATGTTTCATTCCTCTCTCCTTCTATATGAGATTAAGATGTGCAATTGTAATTGCCCTCACTTTCTGATAGCACCCAACCCAGAACAATTTCGCTTCCCTGAACCTTCCCCCCAAATCACCTAGCACAAACCCTAGTCCTGTCATTCCTAACTTCTTCTAGTGAGATAACCTTCGCAGAATTAGTATACCCAGTTGCTTGACTATGGGTGTGTTCCTGGTGGTCTTTGGCTGGAGGGCATTGACACTTTTAGTCTTATTCTCTACTGCATCCTGAAATTTTAGCAGAGGGGCTGATAAAGGATGTTCATCCTGAAAGTCCAGTATTTTGCTTAGCACATAGCTGCTTTAATAAAGATCACTTATCCAAGCTTCAGTGGCAGCTACAAAGACTAGTTATTACGGTCAGTGGCATAAAGTTGAAGAGCTGTATTAGCTTTGAGGAAATCTCCTCCAAGACAGCTGGTGTCCTCTGCCCTTCCTGGTCCATATTGAGAATTGGAACATGGATAAGCTATCTTTACTTCCCAAACCATGAATAGGAGGATCTGACCCCAGTAATTGTGGAGCTGAAACCTGGGGGGAGGGGTTCTGAATACCTGAGGTGGTGGCCTGATACCTTGGGCTGTCTACCTCTTGAACTGTACAAAATAAACTTATATTTTGCTTTAAGACTACCTTTGGTTTCTGTTACAACTGAACTTAAAAGCTGATAAACTGGGTCATAGTAGGTACTTAATATTTAGTGTTTCCATGCTCATGGTTTACCACCTATATTGTAAAACACTCAGATATGCATTAGACATTTCTGTCCCTAGTTTTAATATGAATACCAAGCCTGTATACCCACCTATTTTCTCTCTCCTACCAGAGATCTTAAAAGGCAGCTCAAACTCAGTAATTCCAAACAAATTCCTAGCATTCTGTTTTCTCCCTTTCTTTTTAAATGGTAGTTATGTAAGCCAGAACTACCCTGATAAACCTAAAATACTTTCATTTTGATCTCTTTTCAAATACCTACTTTTCTCCTGTTCCACTACCCAGTCTATACCATCATAACCCACCTGGACTACTTAAGTTACCTTTGAAGGCACTTCCAAACCTGGTCAGCTCCATACAGAGTCAATCTTGTTGAAAACAAATCTAATCCGTATCAACCTGCCTAAGATCCTTCAAAGGCTTTGGTATTAAGAAAAAGACCCAAATCTTTATGTTCTGCAAGGCCCTGAGTGGTTTCGCTCTTCTTCCTTCTGCCTTGTCTCCTATTCTTCCCATCTCTTAGCAAACACCTTTGCTTGGACTTTGCTCTTCCACCTCAGGCCTCCTGCTTCTCTGTCAGAGCTTGTCTCAGATGTCACCTTCCTAGTCTCCCTTTATTACAGACTCCCTTTTCATTGTCTCACTTTTGACAGGTGTGACCTTACACATATTCGTGATTTTTTTGATAAACATATCTCCCCTGTAGATTTAAATTCATTGGTTTTAGTTCTGTTATTTCTAGTGTCTAATATATTGTCAGGCCCGCAGTCAAATCTACAAATATTTGTTGAAAGGCCGTTTTAGCCATTACAACTCTAAAAACATCAAACCTACAAAGATGGGTAGAATATTAAAAAATTACTCCATGGATAGTTGGCCTTTCCTTTCTCCTCTAAAACCTTACCCTTGAACGTCATGCAGCCTGGTGTGTTTTATGCTTATAGGTTAATGGGACCTCGCTTGTTCCTTCGGACTGAAAGAAACTCAAGCTTTTCCCTTCTCCATCACCACTGTGTATGAACAAATGGAAGAATAAAGTGACTACAAGAAGAACAGCCTTATCTGCACCTCCAGAGATGACTGGAACACAGGGATTGAAGAAAATGCTTGTTTCCACTGCATTTATTACTAATATAAAAAAATGTTAAAAAGAAAAAAAAAATTCATTCTCAGTTCTCCAACGGCTCTCATCCTTCCATCTTGCCCACACAACTCCTGACCCATTTCCTCAGGGCCAGTTCAAAACCGAACCTGTTCACTGCCGTTTTCACAGAAAACAACCAGTGCCAGGGATGTAGGGAAGAAGCTTAGATGAGGGCGACAGTACTGTCCAGGTTCCACCCAAAGGTAGGCCGGGTGGAGATTCACAGAATTCAGACGAAAGGGCTGGTCGCCTCACAATGACGTACTCTAACTAAAGTGGGCTGGAGAGCAAATAGGGTAGCCCGTCAGAGGCTTCAGAGGACATCTCATGGGCTTGTGTCAAACCCAGAAAAACTGACACCAGGAGAATGGGGAGACCAGGGAGGCAGTCTTGTGGAAAGTTTCACATTTCTCCCATGTTGGGAGGTGTGGAAAGTCTAGAGGGCACCAAGAGCCTCACTCATTTTGGCAGAAAAACTTACTCTAGTGTTGGGAAGTCACAAAGATGCCACGGACACTGAGAAAGGCTACGTACGAGGGGATACACAGTTTCACAAAGCACAGTGATCACAGACCAGAGCGGTGGGGATCATGCTACTGACGTAGAAACTACAAAATCCAAAAGCAGGGAGAGTGGCCTTTCAGGGAGTAACTCTGCACCAGTCATCCATACTTGACCCCAGGTCAACCTGGTGAGTTTCACAGAGCAACTGGCAACTTTGGGGGTAGGGGCTGTCACATAAAAAGGACTTAAAACAAGCAGCTAGAAGAAGGGAATGGTAGGAAACTGCTCCAGGGCTCTCAGGAATCGAGGGCAGTACTGGGGGCTGGGTGGACAGATGCACAAGAAACAGCACCAAAGAGGTTTCCTGTTCAGCAGTCAGTTGGCGAGGGGGAAGAGGATCCAGGAGGCAGTTGAAGGGAGCAAAGATGGGGTCCTGAAGGCGAGTCTCTGGAGGCTGGATCAGAAGAAAGCCCACACACTGGGTATCAATGATGAAACACAGCTCTGGACCCCAAATTGGGGAGGTGGCGGATGGGGGTGGGTGTCACTGACTGAGGGTGGTGGGTGGAACAGCCTCACAGTAGCCATCACAGGGCCACAGGGAAACATATGGCCGCTAGGTCAGAGGGCTCCTTCCAGCCTCGATGGGAAGGCACAGTCTCACAGAGGCGGTCCATTGACGCCTGGGTGGTAGAAGGCACAGAGGTCCTCATATCGACAGTGGCCCTTTTTGGCAAAGTGTCGGCAGACAGGGCGGTTGGATTTGTCTGTAAACAAGTGAAAATTGGTATATTTAAAATATAAGAAAGGAAACACGTAACAAAAAGCAGAGATAGAGAGGGCAGTCAGATTTTCTACTCCCTACCATTTCCAGACATTTTAGAATGGTAGACTCACAGGCATTCTGGGAGTGATGGGTATTAAATGTGTATAGGCATTAAAAAATGGACCTCACCTTCCACAACTTGGGGGCCATCCTTGGGCGGGCAGGTATTTTTGATAAGAGACCAACTTTTGAGCCTTCGAGGATTTCTCTGCTCTTTGTGAAAGCCTCCCCTGGAAGGACCCCCATGGCCTGGTCCAGGAAAAGGAGGTTCAGTATTGGCCCCCCACCAACCACGACCATATGGGCCACACCTGGGGCCTAGACCTCCCCGAATTGGGCCTCTGCCCCGGGGAGGAGGTGGGAGACTCAGCAGTGGTGGAATCATTGGTCCCCTTGATCCTGGAGGACCTCTGTGAAGAGCTGGAGAGAAGGAGAGAGACAGACAGACATGGAAAGGTGATCAGTGGCCAGTTTAATCCGGATAAGGAAGCCCTGTGTTTTTGTTTTTTTACTTTTTATTGAAGTACAATATACATACAGAAAAATACACCAGTTTTAAGTGTACAACTCAATTACCGTCAAAGTAAACACACCTGTGTTTTTACCACCCAGGTGAAAGGATAGAGCCTTCTTAGCACTCGCCAATTCCTCCCCCCTCTTTGTGCCCCTCCTACCCCACTATTCCACCCTCCTCCCCAAAGGTAACCACTATCCTGACTTCTAGCACCATAGGTTAGTTTTTGCCTGTTTTTGAACTTCGCATAAATGGAATCATACAGTCTGCATTCTTTTCTGTCTGGCTCCTTTCGCTCAACATCGTGTTTGTGAGATTCATCCAGGTTGCCTGTAGCAGGAGTTCGTTCATTTTCATTGCAGTGTAGTATCCCATTGCATGCACACACAACAACTTATTTATCCATTCTACTGATGGTGGACATGTGGGTGGATTCCAGTTTGGGGCTATAACGAAAAATGCTGCTATGAACATTTTTATACATGTCTTTGTTACACATATGTATGCATTTCTGTTGAGTATAAACGTAGTAGAGGTATTGTTGGGTCCTAGGGTATATGTATGCTAAAGTTTAATGAAGTCAAACTTTTTTAAAGTGGCTGTACCAATTTACACTCCCACCGGCAACTGTTCCATAGCTTTGACAACACTTAGTATTGTCAATTTTTTTCATTTTTGCCATTCTGGAGAGGTTTTTTTTTTTTTTAAATTGGGGAACATGTAACGTTAAATTTGTACATGTAATATAACGTAAAATCTGTTTTGTTTTTTTTTTAAAGCAAACTTTACGCCCAACGTGGGGCTCGACCTCACAACCCTGAGATCAAGAGTGGCATGCTCTACCGACTGAGCCAGCCAGGTGCCAAAGATTTGCCATCTTAACTATTTTTAAATGCATGTTTTAGTAGTGTGAAGTAAATTCTCATTGTTGTGTAACAGATCTTTAGAACTTTTCCATCTTGCAAAACTGCAACTCTATAGCTACTAAACAACTCCCCTTTTCCCCCTCCACCCAGCTCCTAGTAACCACCATTCTACTTTGCTTCTATGAATTTGACTACTTTAAGTACCTCCTAAGTGGAATTATACATTTGCCTTTTTTTGATTGGCTTGTTTCATTTAGCAAGATGGCTTGAAGGTTCGCCCATGCTGTAGCATGTGACAAGATTCCGTTCCTTTTGGGGGTTGTATAATACTCCGTTGTATGAATATATATTTTGTTTATTCATCTGTCAATGAACATCTGGGTTGATTCCAGCTCTTAGCTATTGTAAATAGTGCTGTTATGAACACGAGTGTGCAAATATCTCTTCAAGATCCTGCTTTCCATTCTTTTGGATATATACCCAGAAGTGGGAATGCTGGATCACGTGGTAGTTCTATTTCTAATTTTTTTTGAGGAAACTCCGTAGTGTTTTCTATAGAATCGCTCCATTTTACAATCTCACCAACATGCACAAGGGTCTTAAGTGTTGTGTTTTCATCTTGCAATTATTTAACAACTAAAGATACTGAGTTTTGTTCACATGTTCTTGATCATTTAGAGCTCAGTTTTTGAGAGAGTTCTGATACTTTGCCCATTTTTCTAACAGGTTGTCTAAAAGAGTCCTGTGTATATCCTAGATACGAGCTGTTTATTGGTTCTATTTATTTCAACTATTTTCTACTCTATGACTTCCAATTAATTTCTTAATGGTGTCATTTGATTAATAAAAGTTTAATGTAGTTCAGTTTATCAATCTTTATAATGTTTCTTGTCTGTTTAGGAACTCCTATCTCCTCCAAGACCATGAAAATATTTTCCTTTACCTTTAACACTTAGATCTACAGTTCACTGAGTTGATGTTTACATACAATATGAATAGGAGGTCAGAATTCATCCCCCCCCATGAATATCCAATTAATCCAGCATCATTTACTGAAATGACCACTATTTCAGTTCCATCTTCATCATAAATGAGGTGTCTACGTATGTGCAGGCCTGTTACTGGACTTTTTGTACCGGGCTATTGACTTTTAGGTCTGTTCTTGTGCCAATACCACACCATAACTATTATAGTTCTAAATGGTGATATTCAGGGTAAGTCCTCCTACTTCAAGATTGTATTTGCAATGTCTCAGCCTGATCCTTTGCATTTCCGTGTAATAACATAGAATGCTTATTTCCATTATAGGGACTGTAACTGGAAATGCATTGAATCTATAGATCAATTTGGGAATAAGTGACATTTTTACAACATTGAGCTTTCCAATCTGTGAATATACAACATCTCTCCATTCATTTCTGTACAGAATCCCTGATCTTTTGGTTTTAAGTCCTCCTGGGTTTTAGCCATTCCGTTGCTCCCTTCTCCAGGACCTAATCAAAGAATCAGAGCCCCCTCATCCTCACCTGACTTGGGGTCACCAGGCTTTCCATTGGCCATGGGGGGAGGGCCCAGAAGGCTGGGTGGTCCTAAGAGTAGATATGAAAGTATAGTCATCAGAATGGACTAACGTACCGATGATCCTATGTTTTTCTACTACTCATTTCTTAATTCAATCAGTAAAGCCTGATACATTCTCAGCAGTGTTAACAAGTTCTCAGGCAAATCTCCCTGCTCTTTCTTCAAAAAAGCGATTCGTTTGGGGGAAAAAAAAAAAAAGATAATGCGGGAAGGGTATCTTTCTCTTTCCCTTACATAGTTGCTACCCAAAACATCCCAGGTGATTCCAGAAGTAATCCAATCCCTCTCTTTAACTGTTGGCCAATCAGAACGATCCCCCCCGCCCCAGAGTAGTTTAGAGAAGGCAGCACTTCTACCTTCCCTGTGCAAGTCTGGTAACAAAGTGTTATCCTAGTCATCGCAATCTGCAACCTCTCTAGGGCCCCCTCTCCCTTGCCGTTCTGCGACTGCGCACACGAGCTTTTTATCCTCTCCTCCCCTGCCTTCTTCAGAAAGGTTAGAGGCCGGACCGAAGTTGAGGGGTCAAGGAAGAGAACTCGCTCAGGGTTCCACACCGGACAGCCTCCTATCCCCGCCCCAGCGCTTGCGCCCTTCCTCCTTCCGTTAGAGCCCCCTCCCCCGCACCTTTTCCAGACCTTAACCCCTCGCCTCGACCAGCTGACAGGCATGTGCACACCCCTCCCGGGCTCCTCACCGATGGGACTCCCATCCTCCTCGTCTCCAATCTCCTCCCGCTCTGGCAGCGGGGGCTGCTGCGGTGGCGGCGGCTGCTGCTGATTCTGCTTCTTTCGTTTCGGCATCGTGGTTGCGGCAATGGCTGCAGCGGGATTTGGAGGGCAGTGAGGAAGGGGCACGCTGGGATTCTATTTCCGCTTCCGGGAGGTGGATGGAGAGGCTGAGGCTCCCGCCATTTCACTTCCGGAAGGCTCCGAGGCGCTTTTGTGCGGCTCATTCTCTCATAAAACGTCTCCCTCGGTCTCTGCCAGGCATAGAGGCAGTCTCAAGCCTTCTTTTTGTTGCGTTCCTATAAATGCCTTGAAAAATTCCTCTCTTCGCCCCTCGCTGAAAAAAATCCCACAACCGGCTCCTCATTGTGTGCCATAGAGTCGATAGGCTCTCGGGCCAGAGGACCTGAGAGAGTTGTCGCCCCTTAAGATCGCCACATCCGGTTCCCGGTTACTATGGTAACGGCTGCAGGCACAACTTCATGCCCTCTGACCTCTCTCCAAAAATCCTTGTCCCACCTGGGTTTCCTTCCTCGCCTGCGCGTGCCCCTATGATCTGTAAACCTGCTCTTTATCGCTCCCACAAGGAATTTGGGTCCCAGGACTCTTCAGACCGCTACCCGCCCCCCAAGACGTCTGACCCCGCCCCCAGCGTAGACGAGCAACTGGACTTCATTCCCGGGACGCGCAGTCCCGTCTTTCCATTAAGGTCAAGCCCGGGGTAGGGGTGGGTAGAGTAGGTTCAGCGCATCCACGCTCCTCTTTCTCCCAGGTGGTAGGACCCGCCCTCCGCTCCACCGCCCCCTCCAGGTGAGTGGTAGCTTCCCTCCCAGCGCGCAAGGTAGCGGTGACACACGTCCCCCCTCCTCCGAACGCGAGTTGGTAGCGTCCGTGACGAAGTTAGCTTGATCCTCCCACGCGCGCCTCCTTCCTCGCCGCCGCTGCGCCCTCTCGGTGCCACTGACTCTCACGTGCGGGTAGCCCACCCCGCATCCTCGTCTGGCCTCGCTCGCATAAGGAAGTGGCCGTATTTCCTTCGCCTTCACCCAGGCAACGGGGGGCAAATCGGCCAGGCCCGCCCGCTGACGTCACCTCATAGCCCCGCCCCCTCTAGGGTCCCAGGCCCTGGCGGCGGGGGTTGCCCGGGGGGGTGGGGGGGAGTCAGTTGAGGCGGCGGGAGCTCGGCGGAGGGTGGGCCAGGTGACTGGTCCAGGCCATGCCGAGAAAGAAGCCCTTCAGCGTGAAGCAAAAGAAGAAGCAGTTGCAGGACAAGCGGGAGCGGAAGCGAGGTCAGTGCGGTAGTGAGGGGAGGGGGCGGGGCTCGGGCTCCCGCACCTCTGGAAGGAGGGGTGTGCCCGCCGCATCCCCGCGGGGCGTGGGAGTGGGTGTTGGCAGCGCGCCGAAGATCGCGATTCTCTCTCACCCCAGTCTCCCTGGAAGGGGTGGGAAAGGATGGAGAATTGGGGGAGGGGAATCCCTCCAGCTCGAACGGGGCGCCATCCCCGCAGGTCCCTGGAGGAGGAATGACTCCCCCCCACGCACATCCGGTAGGGTCTTGGGCAGGATGGTGGAAGGATCGGGCCTCAAAAGAAGTGGGGTGGTGTGAGGGGAAGTCACACAGACCGGGGAAGGGGTCTTACGGCCCCTTAGAGCCGTCCCGTAGTGGCGTCACCGCCTCCTCCCCGCAGGGCTCCAAGATGGGCTGCGATCCAGTTCCAACAGCCGCAGCGGGAGCAGGGAGCGGCGGGAGGAGCAGACCGACACCTCGGACGGGGAATCTGTGACCCATCATATCCGCAGGCTCAACCAGCAGCCTTCCCAGGGGCTGGGTCCTCGAAGCTATGACCCAAATCGGTGAGAGCAGGCAGGGGGCGCTGGCTGGGGCATCCCCGCCTACCCGGAAGCGAGAGTGTTGGGGGGAAAAGCTGGCTGCTGCTGGTGGAGGAGGTGGGACTGGTATGCCGAGTCTCCGCAGGCAGCTGGCTCACCGGAGCGGGCCACAATCCTTCCTTCCGGAGGGGCTGGAGAGAGTTCCTGGCTTTTAAAAGGGCGAGGTTTAGGGGAAGGCCGAATGTTGGGGGAGAGGTACTTGAGGGAGAGTCGACTGAGAGGAGACTTGAACAACTCTGGAGAGAAAGCTCTACGAGGTTGTCTGCCCAGGAGGGGAGTTTGTGGCCACGGGATTGCAAGAGATGCCGTGGTCCCTGTCCCATTAGATACCGGCTGCATTTTGAGCGAGATAGCCGGGAGGAGGTGGAAAGGAGAAAGAGGGCAGCCCGCGAGCAAGTGCTACAGCCGGTCAGTGCTGAGCTGCTGGAGCTGGACATCCGGGAGGTCTATCAGCCTGGCTCAGGTGAGAGCTCAACAGCTGGATGTTTGGGAGAGGCAATGGGCTGGGGGAAGGAGGTTGGAAGAGGAAGAGCTGACTGTGAGGGGTGAGAGGTCTGGGATCCACTCTTGAGCCCTGAAACTATTCTCAGACTTACTTGGTCTTTTTCTTAACTTCCCAGTCCTGGACTTTCCCCGACGTCCTCCTTGGAGCTATGAGATGTCCAAAGAGCAGCTAATGAGCCAGGAGGAACGGAGCTTCCAGGAGTATCTTGGGAAGATTCATGGGTCTTACACCTCTGAGAAACTCAGCTACTTTGAGCATAATCTGGAGGTGAGAATGGAGTAGGGACAGGAGTCTGGCATAGTGACCCTTGGTCAAATTGGTCTGGGGTCAGTCAGGAGAGGAATTCTGGCCTTAGGTACTCTTCCACTGATCTTGCCTTTTCAGACATGGCGGCAGCTGTGGCGTGTGTTGGAGATGTCTGACATTGTCTTGCTTATCACTGATACCCGACATCCAGTGAGTACTGGGGGTGAGGGTGACAAGGGGGATGGGGGAGGAGGATTCTTGTGGGGTAAAGGGCAGAGGCAGGAGTTGGGAGATGGAGAGGTATCTTTCTTTTCTAGTCTTCTCTACCTCGTAGTGATGTCTGCAGTCAGGAACTCAATACTTTATTCATCAGTGTCGCAGCTTGTCACTCCTGCTCTGGTTAACAGACGCTCTTCTTTACTTCCTTTGGTGAAAAACTGTGTATCCCGTTTTCATTCCACCATAACTAGGCCAGTAGAAAGTTCTAGTGTGGTGCTTCAGGGGATTCTGTGAAGGCAACTGAGGGCTTCCCCCGCCCCACCACATCAGCCTTATGTGGAAGGCTAGGATAGTGGTTAAGGCTCTAAACTTGGCTGCTGGACAACCCTTGTGTTAACCTGGCTCTACCACTCCATTGCTGTCCTCTAGTGGGAGAAAGGGAGGTCTGTGGGGACATTTAGGTTGGAAGTCCTTAACGGCACGTATACATACACTTCTACACACACAGACGGATGTGTGTGCTCATATGCACTCACACAGCCACACATGCTCATCACAAACCTGCAGACACGTACATGTGCGTACATGCACGTATATACGTGTAGATAGTTGTGTGCACACAAAAACAGGTATTAAGTTTTATCCTGACCCCAACCTTTACACTAGTATACTAGGTATCACTGTTTTCTTGTCTTGTTTTTGGCTCATTTCTATCCCTAATCAGGACCTGTAAGAAGTCCCCCCAAGACAAATGTACAGGTATTGCTTACTGCTGCTTTATTTTTCTAGTTCGGTTTTGCTGATTTACCCTTTTGCCCCAGAATCTGCTAACCACCAGTCTTGTCTCTGAGTGGTGCCTGGTGAGTGGGGAGCTGGAGGCAGAGAACTCTGGGTTGACCTCTCATTGCTCTCTCCTCTCACCAACCCTATCCCAGGTTGTGAATTTCCCACCAGCACTTTACGAGTATGTGACTGGAGAACTTGGATTGGCCTTGATCTTGGTCCTGAACAAGGTGGATCTAGCCCCACCGGCTCTTGTGGTTGCCTGGAAGCATTATTTTCACCAACACTATCCCCAGCTCCACATAGTCCTTTTTACCTCTTTCCCTCGGGACCCCCGCACCCCACAGGATCCTAGTAGCGGTGAGTGGGCAATGAGGAAGGCAGCATGGGAGAGGTGGGGTGGCAGGGGACAACAGGGAGAACAGAGAGCCTTGTTGACAAAGGAGTCCTGATCTTGGGCCTAAGGGTGGTGGGTGAGGTGGGATGCATAAGCCCATGCACTAACACTTGTGCCCTCTGATCCCAGTGTTGAAGAAGAGTCGGAGGCGGGGGAGAGGATGGACTCGGGCCCTGGGGCCGGAGCAGTTGCTGAGAGCCTGTGAAGCCATCACTGCAGGGAAAGGTATACACTCTTAAGAGGGGAGCTGTGGAAGGATATGGGGGCGACCCAGGGCCTGGAGTCATTTTGCTTACCTTCCCTGAAGTTAGTCCTTTCTATTACGGAGGTAGGTGAGCAGCCAGGGGGAGGGATAGAAGAGGGAGCAAACTGACTTGGCGGCAACAAAGGCAGCAGGTAGGCAGGAGCCCCAGTGGTCTGTTGTCTTCAGTCTTCCCAGTATTTTTCTGAAACTCAAAAACTGACATGATTTCTAGGTGGGGTCAAGTGAAGGCTAGGGACGATCTGTCATGTAGGTTGGCACTCTCCAACTCCAGAGGGTGCCAGTTAGGTCAGCTGTGCCGTGCGTAGTCTGTGCAATCATCTGTGGTGGCCCTGGGGAGAACCTTCCTCAGCTTCTCCTTCCCTGACAGTGGACTTGAGCAGCTGGCGGGAGAAGATTGCCCGAGATGTGGCAGGGGCCACGTGGGGAAACGGCTCTGGGGAGGAGGATGAAGAAGAGGATGGACCTGCCGTCCTGGTGGAGCAGCAGACTGACTCAGCGATGGAGCCCACCGGCCCGACCCGGGAACGCTACAAAGATGGGGTGGTGACCATTGGCTGTGTGGGTAAGGAAGTGGTGGCCCATGCATGGCGGCCTCCTCTGAAGTACAGAGTTTCAGAAAAGGAAGGTGTCGGCAATAGTGGAAAGATCCTGGCACCCTTGAGTTAAATTCAGGCTTTTCTTAGCTCTTACTGTTATTTACCCACTCTGAGTCTTAGTTATTTTGATTTTTAGAATGAAGATGCTGACACACAATTAGAAGAACGGATGTGAGGAATGAAGAGACTAGCATAGGGATAGCCTAATGATGACTGACAAATAGTGTTAATAGTAATGATCACAATTGTTACAATTTAATATTTACATGGTGCTTACCAGGTACCAGGCGTTGTTCTAAATGACATCCATCTTAACTGTTCCATGGTATTCGTCAGTTTGTAGTAGAGAAATCACTAAGTCCTAGCAGGAGCTTAGTTAGCATTAGTATCTTTCTGAGACTTACCCTTTAAGTCTGTCATCAAGGAGAATCTTCCCTGAATTAAGAGCCTTGTCTCTGCTCTTGGTGGGGAAGAAAGGAATGTATGATTCGGGCCCAGGGCCTCTTTCCTTTGTTGGTGGCAGAGGTAAGAAGCGACTTGGGCAAAGTTGTGGCATCTTGAGGTGATAGGGGAATCAAATTAAGGGGAGTAGAGTAGTTAGTTGGACTCCTTGGAAACGCTCCTGACTTAGTCTCCTTTTTGTCCTGGGAACAACCTACCTGACTGCTGACGGATGGCACCCTTTCCAGTCCTTTCCTCCTGCTTCTCCCTGGCAAGGGTGGGAGGTGGGGTGTCCACTCCTTTAAGCATCTACAGTAACTTCTCTGTGTTCACAGTTATGTAAGGGAGAGCATTTTCTGTGGCACAGGCAGTGCTGAGCTTAGATTTACTAATAGTTTTCGGCAAATATTTACTAAGTGCCAGGAGGTGTTCCAGGAGCACATTATGCTGTCATGAAAGTGGCAGGAAAGTCCCTACTATCACAGAGCTTATTGCCTTGGAAGTGAATTGATTCATGATTTGAAATCATATTATTTAGCGGCAACGAAAGGGAGCAGAGAGTGACGCAGAGAGGGGGATTCTCATGGAAAGCCCCCTCTGAGAAAACCTGGGATGTTGAGAGGAAGTAGCCATTTGGAGATAGGGGAAAAGGGCCTTCCAGGCCAAGGGATCAGTAAATGAAAAGATCTTGATGTGGGAGTGAGCTTGGTGATTATGGGACAAGCCAGAGTGTCAGAGCATTGGGAGATGGGAGCCATGGGAATAAGTAAGGCGGAGGAGAGGCGCACGACTTGGGAGTTCATGGTCTGTGAAAGGGGCTGGCTGTAGAGCTGGGTCGTGGTATCTCAGTTGGGTGAGAAGGGAAGTGAGGACAAGAGTCCAGTATGGAATAGTGAAGATTTATTGGAACTGAGGAACAGAGTAAGTGAGCTGGAACGATAGGATATCAGGGCAGAGAGTGGTGCTTGCAGTTGAGATTTTGGAGGTGTGAATTGACCAGATCCAGGGTATGACCACGGTAGTGGGTAGTTGGAAATGACTTTTGGCAGATAGATGCTGGCACCGAGAGGCCAAGGTGCTAAACAGGCCACCTGTGCAGATACCAAAGTCACCCAGAGTGATGGAGGGGCTCCTGAAGAGAGTGACAGTGAGCCTCAGAGTTTTCAGTCTTCTCCGTGGAGAAGTTTCGATGATTATGAGCTGCATGTCTCACTTGTTTTGGGCATTTAGTGTACTGCAGGCAGTGAACCACACAGTCATCTTTAATCCTGACCACTTTGAGCTTGAAGGTATCTGCACTTGTAAAATGAGGAACCAGAGGCTCAGAAAATGAATTGCTTTGAGGTTACAAAACTGATAAGTGGAGAGGCCAGGATTCAGCCCTGGTGGCCCAGAGTCTGATTTGAAATTTGCACGGTTATATTGCTTCCTTAATTTCTGTGCTTTACTTCCCTTTTTATCTATGGCTACAGCACTGCATCCTGCCTGTCGCAGAGTAGGGAACTGTCCGATGTTAGTTTTTCTTGCCTTCCTTAGGTTTCCCCAATGTGGGCAAGTCTTCTCTGATCAACGGGCTGGTGGGCAGGAAGGTTGTGAGTGTCTCCAGAACTCCCGGCCACACCAGATATTTTCAGACCTACTTTCTCACCCCCTCTGTGAAGCTCTGTGACTGCCCTGGCCTCATATTCCCATCCCTTCTGCCCAGGCAGTTACAGGTATGCAGGCGGGGTGGGGGGGAGGTGGGCAGGAAGGGAGAGGAGGCAGGAGGTCAGGAACAGACCGAGCATTTTGTTTCCCCTCAGGTTCTGGCAGGGATCTACCCCATTGCCCAAATCCAGGAGCCATACACTGCCGTGGGCTACCTGGCCACTCGAATCCCTGTGCAGGTCCTGCTCCACCTGCGCCACCCAGAGGCCAAGGATCCCTCAGCGGAACACCCCTGGTGTGCCTGGGACATCTGTGAAGGTGGGCTCCATGTCCCTGGTTTCTCCTCCCCTTACCCTGAACCCTGCCATATCTCCTCACCTCTCCTCAGAGCTTCTGCCATTGATGAAGCACCTGGCTACTCATGCCTGGATTTCTGTCGTGGGGCCTGCAAGATCAGTGGCCTGGGATGTTCTGGAGAAAACTGGAAGGGCTGTGTTATGGGAATGGGGTGGTGGTGGTGACTGGGCCCAGTTAATGGCTTCCCTCTGCACTATTCTCTTCTCTCTCTCCAGCCTGGGCAGAGAAGCGTGGTTATAAGACAGCTAAGGCAGCGCGGAACGATGTGTACAGAGCAGCCAATAGCCTCCTACGGCTGGCAGTGGACGGGCGCCTCAGCCTGTGTTTTCATCCCCCGGGCTACAGTGAGCAGAAAGGTCAGACAGCCAGTGTTCTTGTGCTGTACTGTAGGCAGAAGGGTGTGGGCTTTGTGGCCACACAGAACAAGGGTCAGGCCTGGGTTCTGTACCTGTCGGCCCGCCCTGTGTTCCTAAGCGTCTTTGAGACAGTTTCCTGATCTGCAAAGGCAGGGTGGGAGTTGCCCCCTGGCCAGGCGGCGGTGCAGAGCTCGTGTAGGCGGAGCTGCTGTTCAGTGCCCGGCACCTGGGAGTCTGAATGAATGAACGGGCGGATGCTGGCAGCTGCAAGACCAATTGTCACTTCTTAGTCTTTGCCTCTTCCCCACCTTTCTTTGGCTGTAGTTCTTTGCTTAAAACTTTCCTTTATTGTTTTCGTTCCCCAGGCACCTGGGAGTCCCATCCGGAGACCACAGAGCTGGTGGTTTTGCAGGGCAGGGTGGGGCCAGCAGGTGACGAGGAGGAGGAGGAAGAAGAAGAGCTGAGCAGCTCCTGTGAGGAGGAGGGAGAGGAGGACCGGGATGCGGACGAGGAGGGGGAAGGGGATGAGGACACCCCAACTTCAGCTCCAGGGTCCGGCCTGGCTGCCCGAAACCCTTACGCCCTACTGGGAGAGGACGAGTGCTGAGTCCCTGCCCTGCTCCACCTGCTCCCCCCAGCGTCTCTGCTTCTGGACTGACCTGGGGGTACCTCCCCTCTGCTGCCCCAGTTGTGAATAAAGATTGTCTGCTTTGTAGCCCCTTCCCCGAATGGACTGAGGTGAGAGCGGCTGTTTTAGCCACCAGCTGCAGGAGGCCTCTCTCCTCTCCTCCTTTCTTTCCCCTCTTGGGGAAGGAAGAGTTCTCTTAGGGGTTAATTCACTGGGTTGTAAGGCCCTGAAGTCCACTGTCTCTGCTCACTCTCCCACTCTGCACCGTATGAATCCCATTATCAACATGGGGAGGGGAAGTCACTTGAGGCTTTGAGGCCTGGTCTGAATCCAACCCTCTTTCGGAGTTTGTGCCATTCCTTCTCTCTTGTATGCCCCCCTGCTGCTAGACCTGGGTCTACTAAGGTCTACTAGTAAGGAGCTTTTTGGAGCAGAAGTGATAAGAGGTGGGACAAGCTGATGTCTCCGTGTGAGCTTTTTATAGGATTTATTCAAATTCAACAAATACTTATCAGGGACCGACCGTGTGTCTGGATCTCTGCTAAGCACTGAGCATATAAAGATGCGCAGACAGGGCCTGACCTAAATGTGCATGCAGCCTGGCCATGATTAAGACCCCGTTCTCAGGCACCCAAGTTTTTGGATTAAGAAGGGTGTGTGATATTCTCCAAATCTTTGGGGCTCATACACTATAATTTTAGGACTTCCTGTTGATAGAAATTTTTAGTTAAGACAACGTTTGTGGAAATGGTGATTAAATGTGTACAAGTAGCATCTTAATTACTGGCAAACAACTAGTGTGCACATTTATGATTTAAGCAGACCAGCCCCTTAAGTACAGTGTTAAGCTTTATTATTTAAAGGCCCACATGCACTAAAGGTCTATGAGATTCATAGGAGAGGGCACAGAGCCAGTGGTTTGTTTTTTGTTGTTTTTTTTTGTTTTTGTTTTTAAAGATTTTATTTATTTATTTGACAGACAAACACAGCGAGAGAGGGAACACCAGCAGGCAGAGTGGGAGAGGGAGAAGCAGGCTTCCCGCCGAGCAGGGAGCCCAATGTGGGGCTTGATCCCAGGACCCTGGGATCATGACCTGAGCCGAAGGCAGACGCTTAACGACAGAGCCACCCAGGCGCCCCGAGCCGGTGTTTTGAATCCCAGTTAGCCTGGTTTGGGGACGGAACAGAGATAATCAGTGCAGGGTCTGAGCTAGAACTCAGCAGGTGGCCAAAGCTATCTTATGGAGCCCTGTGTATCTCAGCAGCAGTCAGTTATCTTGTGAGTCAGGGCATCTGAAGACTTTCTGTACTTCTTTGTTAAGCAGGCAGCTAGACTCCTAGACTTAATTATTGGAGGTAAGAGGGAAAATGGGATTTGTTTTGTTGGTTGCCACAGTGTTGTGTGAGTTAAGTGGTAGCAAAAAGTGTTTTCAACAGGTTGACAAACCTATACTGTTAGGTGCAGGGGTGAGGAGAAGATGGAGTACCAGATTCCTTCTCTTCCCTGTAAAGCATCCCCTGCAGGATCTGGGTCCCTGGGCAATTTTCTGTAATGCCAGTAGAAACCTGGTCAATCCAGAAGTGAAGGAAACAAAGTATATTTAGGAGAGGCTGACATGTTTGGCTTTTGAGTCCTGGTCACATTTTCCCAAGCTCACCGTCTGCTGGTCCCAGTGAAAACATAAGTCCTGGAATTTCTAGTCCAGTGCAAAGATAAAATACCATCAGCATGTGAATGTGCTTGAAGGTTACTCAAAATGTGTGGTAAAAGAAAAAGTCCCAGTTAGAGAAAAGCCCACCTATCTCCCGTCTTGGGCTCTTGAGCCTCGAGGCTGACTCTTCTGGTGGAAGAAAGGAGCTAAGGCTCAGCTTCCTCTGAGGGTTCATGATGTTTAGGGAAGCAGCGGATTTATCTGCTTCTAGAGGTAGGGACATTGGAGTGTTCTCAAGAAATGGAGGAAAAGGAGAAAATCAGAAATCCACCTGTCCCCTCCCCACCTCCTCTGCAATGCTGCCTCTCTCCACTTTTATCTCTTTGGTGTGTCATGAATTTTACCAGGGCTATTGAGAGAGTCTGGGTGTGGGGATGAAAAGGTGAGACCTGGAGCTGAAGGGGAAGCTGAAGAGTGGGGATTTTTTTTTTTTTTAAGATTTTACTATTTATTTTTTTTTATTTTTCTTTTCTTTATTTTTTTTTGCTTGTTTGTCAGGGAGAGAGAGTGAGAGAGAGAGAGATATCACAAGGAAGGGGAGCGGCAGGCAGAGGGAGAAGCAGGCTCCTGCTGAGCAAGGAGCCCAATGTGGGATTTGATCCCAGGACCCTGGGATCATGACCTGCGCTGAAGACAGATGTTTAACTGACTGAGCCACCCAGGTGCCCCAAGAGGGGGGATTTTTATGCTGAACACCTAGAAGGAGGTAACATCCCCCACGGGCTATACTGTAAATGATTCTTCCCAGGCACCTGTCAGTGACTCACTCACTGTAGCAAAGAAAGACTGGGAAAAGAACTATCTTAGCATCAAACAGATTTCAGAGAAGGACAAATAATACCCCAATACCAGTACCTGGGGCTGAGAGTTGAAACTAAAAGGGACAAAGGAAACCAGGGGTCCAATCTCCCTTCCATGCTGAAATATCCAAGACCCCTGTCCTCACATTCCTTGGCCTACATCACATCTACTATGAGGATACTTGACCATGGAGGTCTGGGGCCCTGGCAGTTCCCATGGCTTCTGGCCAGTGTCTCTGTCTCTCTCAGAGTTTATTTATTTATTTATTTATGCAGTCTCTACACCCAATGTCGGGCTTGAACTCATGACCCTGAGATCAAGAGCCACATGCTCTCCCGACTAAGCCAGCCAGGCACTTCTCTGGTGAGTCTATTGATGGAGAGAACTCAGTGCTTCTTTCATTCATACTGGCATTCTATTTAGACACTGAGGAACTTCCTTCCAAGCGTCCCTTTTTTCAGACTGAGTTTTTTTTTTTTTTAAGATTTTATTTATTTGAGACTTATAGAGAAGAGAGAGCACCAGTGGGTTGGGGGTGGTAGGAGCAGACAGAGAGAGAGGGAGAAGCAGACTCCTCACTGAGCAGGGAGCCCGACGAGGGGCTCAATCCCAGAATCCTGGGATCATGATCTCAGCCAAAGGCAGATGCGTAACTAACTGAGCCACCCAGGCACCACGTCAGACTGAGTTCTAATCCTGCTTCTGGGACAATGTGCAGTCTCGGGTTGTTCAATTATCTGGGCCTCTGTTTCTTAATTTCTTATGATCACTGATACAATCAACAAAAGTTGGTTGAAAACAATATGTGCCAGGCATGCTGAGTTTTCTGGAACAAAGAAATTGAATAAGGCATAGACTGTACCCTCAAGGACTAAAACAGCTAGATACTAATAATACAATGATTCTATAGCACTATGTAAATTAATTACATGTGTCCATTGAACTTCATAACTAAGCTGGCTAGAACTATAATCACCCCAAGAATTCATTCACCCACTGAACATTTGTTGAGCAATCATTATCTGCCAGTTGCTGCTAAGTGGTAAGTGATGTAGAAGTGGTCCTTTGTGGGGGCGCTTGGGTGGCTCAGTTGTTAAGCGTCTGCCTTCGGCTCAGGTCATAATCCCAGGGTCCTGGGATCGAGCCCCACATTGGGCTCCCTGCTCCGCGGGAAGCCTGCTTCTCCCTCTCCCACTCCCCCTGCTTGTGTTCCTTCTCTTGCTGTGTCTCTCTGTCAAAAAAATAAAATAAAAAAAAAAAAGTGGTCCTTGGTGGGACTCACAGTTTATTGGAGAATGGAAACAAATAGACAATTACAAAAAAAGTATAATAAATGCTGTGAGAAGGGTCATACAGGATCCCATGGGTTAGTGGTGGCTCCATGGGGGTGGGGGGTGTCTTGGATGCTTATCAGGAAGAAGTGGTGGACAGGGCTGGAAGCTGTGTTTGTATAGCAAGTTATGTAAGACTGTGAAAAAAAATCAGTAGTCTATGGTAAATAATTGCTATGAAAATACTCAACAGGGGCAGCTAAACTAGTCTTGGTAAGTCAAAAGAAGCCTAGAGGAACAGAGGTCCAAGCCGAGGCCTGAAGACTGATTAGGAGTTAGCCAGGCATTGAGAGGGCAAGAGCATTCCAAAGGGGACAGCCAAGGTTAAGGAACAAACACATGACAAACTGGGAAGACCAATGTATTCAGTGTGACTTAGGAGCTTATGGTACAAGGGAGAGGTGGGGGAAGGTGAAGCAGGAGAGGGAGGCTTGGGCCTTGTCAGCCATGCTGAAGATGGAGGCTTTATCCAGAGGAATAGTGAAGAACTTTAAGCCTAAGAACAAGGAGAGATTTGTGACCTAGATCACTTTGCAGTATAGAGACTGGTTTGGAAAGGGGAGAGAGATCCAAGGCTTTTGCAGTGATCCCAGGGGGAAGAGAATGGAAACTGGAATTAAGGCAGTGGCTGATGGAAAGAAGAGAAGTAGTTTTATGGGGTGCTTAGGAGGTAAAGTTAATGTCTGGGGAATCGTTTTGCTGTGTGGAGGAGGGAGAGAGACAAGTCAAGATTGTGTACCCTGTTTCTGACTTGACAACTGGGTGGGTGGCACCATTTTCTGCGACAGTGGAGCTTGGAGGAAGGGGGGTCATGGCTGCACACAGATTTGGGTGGCATCAACACACAGCGGGAGGAGAGTAATGGAGATAGCCCTCAGAAAATGTGTAGCATTAAAGGAGAAGAGAGCTAAGGAAGAAAATAAAGAACATACACCAAAGGGAAGGCAGGGCAAGAGAAGCCAGCTGACAGGGTGAGACCGGGAAAGTGTGGTGCGGTGGAAGCCCAGGTAGGAAGGCGAAGTGTGAGATGCGCCTGGGGAGTGATGACACCAAGAATGAGGAGTGGCCACTGGATTTGGCAGCAAGGAGCCTTGATGGTATTGGTGGGAGCAGTTCGATTGGACGGGTGAGATCAGAAGCCCCAGATGTCAGATGATAGAGGAATAATTTGGAGGAAGGAAATGGAGGCAGTGGAGGAAAGGATACAATTCTCAATAAATTGGGCCGTATTTGCAAGGGAAGAAAAATGGAGGGAGC